ATTAGCATAAGCTATTATTTTTGATTTCCTATGTGAAACGGGCGCGCGTGGCAGTGGTTGGAGGAGCCACTGCGACACACACGTGGAATTGTTCCCCACTACATCGGCAGGCCACCGCAAGTCATTTTAAAGGGCAGGTATGCATTGAATTACTTCCAATGATACTTAACGAAGTAGAATGCACGGCGCATCCCTGGGGGATTGATCAACGCCGAGAACTTTATCCTTCATCCTTTATGTGAAATCGGGAATAAAAGAGAGACAAAGGAAAACCACTAAGCCATTAATAATTTCAACATTCCCTGGAAATCAATGTCGAATATGTACTTTCGTTGTTCTTGTGGTATTTTTAAACAGTAGTTTTTTTAGTGCCGCGCTACTATATGTCATTGCAGAGCTCATTCTACATGCTGTCGTCCCGTATAATTAAATTAAAACACTAGTTGTGTTTTTAGCGAATTTTAAAGCTTAGAATTCCTGGGGTCAACACAGTAACTTCGACAAATCAAATTCTACGAATTCAAACTCGAGCTTGAGCATAGTACAGTCAAGTCGCTCGGGACATTAATGACGTGTGAAACCAAAGAGCTGTTGGAGAACCTACAGTGAAACGATGGTTTGCAAAATTTCCCCTTGGTAAATTCGACCATTATGATGAAGATTTTCACGGAGACCCTTCAGCTAATGATGACGTTGAATTGAAGGCCTCGGTGGAAGCAAGTACATGTATAACTCTTCGAGAACTTGAACAAGAAATCTGCCTATGCATGACAACTGTTTTGGAGTATCTTAAGAGATAAAAACACAGTGATGCTGAAATACTTGCAAAACCGAGTAACCTGTGAGCCCCGGAAAGCGTACCAGTGGTTTCATCCGGCCTGGGGTCCATGTTGTGCAAAAACATTCCAGCATCATTGTGGTTGTACTTCACATGATACCTTGCCGTAAAGAAATAATGGGTGGCTAATAAAAAGTTAACGTTGTGATTTCGACTAGAGCCTCGTCATAACTGGGTTTAATGACATTTTTTGCTACCCAGATCATTTTCATTGACAGCTGATTACTGATAGCACCACTAAGGTAAAAAACAACTAGTTGAGAGAAGGGCATAGTAAGGGCATCAGTGGTGCAGTGGGTAACACCTGAGCTACGGGAAAGGGTAATCGACACTTCGAATCCGTCCTGAATTCTAGGTTTTGCAGTTATCTCAGCATCGTAGTGGTTGTACTTCACATAAAACCCTGCAGTGAAGAGCAAAATAGTAGGGAGTGAATTAAAAGTTATATGTCTTTAAAGAATCAAAGAAGCTGCCGTTTTAAGGAATCGTCGGCGCTTTTTCCGCGCAATCATAACTACCCGTTTCCTGACCGGTTATTGCGACGCTTGGCGAGAAATGGACCATTTTGACAATTTGGAACGGTCTGCCCAGCCATTCGACCGCTATGGAGCTCTGCAACGCTTCCTGAAACCGAAGCTGCATCAAAAGAAGGTAATGCTGAATGTTTAGTGGTCCACAACCGAATTGGTCCATCGAAGTTTCTTGAGTTCTGGTGACACGATTACGGTGGAGAAGTATGTCCAACAAGTCGAAATACACCGGTAACTCCAACGGATGCGTTCCGCATTGCTCAACAGAAAGACATCAATCTATCTCCAAGAAAACGTGTAGTCATGCTTCGCAATTCCAAAGCTGGGATGGTTGGAAGAGCTGGGCTCATTCACCATACTCGCTAGACCTGTTGCCTCCCTACTTTTCCTTCTTCACGCCAGTCGGCAATTTCCTGTGTGGGAAATAATTCAGAAACCAAGCCGATGCCGAAACTGCTTTCGACTTCCGACTTTATCCTCTATATCATCTATAATTTCGCTCACATTTACGCGAATCGGTCAGCAATAAGACCTCCACTCTTCTCCTTCTCACCCAAGAGTCGTCCAAAGATTTTGCTAACCCAAAGAACGCAAACAGCATTACACTTCTCAAATGAGGTCTTTCATTTCTACTATTTTTAGCGGAAAAATACCCACAGATAGTTATCCAGACAACGCCGTGTGTTCTGGTCCCGGTCATACTCAGCTTGCCGTGCATTATAGGTACAGAGACTGTTCTCTGTTTCACAGAGAATACTCTCTATCTTCTCATATTACTGTACATTTTCAATGTTATCTATAAATTATCAACATACGCACGGGAGCGTTTAGCGCAGTGGTTAGAGGCGCCCTGCAATACAAATGAGATCGATCCCGCGCCCCAGATTCGGAAAACCTTCCATTCATCTTATCTAAGAGGATAGCAGCACTGATTCGATACATCGGTAGGGCACGGGGAGTCATTGTAAAGGCCAGATAAGCATTCAGTCACCTCTAACGCTGCTTAATGAAGTTGGATGCATGGTGCATCCCTCAGGGATTGATCAGCGCCGACAGCTTTATCCTTCATCCTTTATCTGTGAATAATGAAAGTATTTGAGGAAATTATCGTATTGACAACACGTAGTTATTACATTGATGACTGACGATAACCTTAATATGTTGATAATGTAAGAACATAAGACTTTAGTTATCATCACTTTGCCTAGCTGAATCTAAGGAGTCGTAGAAGAAAAGATCAATTGGGAGGGCAAAATGATGTTTCGGTTTTAGTTGCTGTACCTTGCTTCGCTGATAAACTAACACTACGTTGTTACCAATATTTATTCGGCTAACGTTTTGACGTCTTCGTCTTCCTCAGAGTCGATGATCCGAGTCGATGTCCACAGTCGTTCGTCTCCATCTCCATTCGAGAGATGCTTCACTAGAGAAGTTCCGGCTCGATGCGGCGACGAACACGCCACATCGAAAAGACGAAAGGCGAAGACGTGGAAATGTCAGCTGAATAGATAAGGTTGAGACGTGGAAAGGTCAGCTGAATAGATCTTGGTAACAAACTCGTGTTAGCTTACCAATGAAACAAGGTGCATTGATCATTTATACCGTGGTTTAAGAAAAACCGGTCTACTATATTGTAATTGTTGCGCTAACATTATTTATATAAACGCATAATAACCCAAGTTTGAAATTTCGAACTCCGGCATCGACAAGAAGTTCCGCATAGCAAGCGGAAACAAGGGTTACTTACTTGGATACTTAGACACTTGGATGGCCCGCCCACACTGGCTGTACGCGCCCCAGCAAAATTTCCACTTTTCGGACTCTTTCTGCCTTAGCCATAGTGGTTCCTTAGAGTCCTGAATTCATCCAGGTAACGGCTGCCCCACGTCGTTACCACCACAGGCAGTTACCGGCCCTGTGTATCAGAAGATTTTCCACCATGCGACTAGTTTGATACTAGGACGGTGGTGGATCCTAGCATTGATTTTCTTGATGGAAACGCCGGACTCCTTCTCAGATTAGGATACTCTGCAGGGACGATGAATCCCACGCTGTACATCGCAACCCGACATGCAAGAAGACCTCCCAACAGCTATGAGGCAATAAACCATCAAGAGGATAAAGGGATAGATGCGATACAACTAAATAACCTGTGGAATTTATGGAAATGCATAGGAATTGGTGCAATATTCACGCAGGAAATAAGAGGATGGAGAGGAAAATATCAATAAACTTTCTAAACGCCTAGAAAATTTTTAAAAAAAAAAATGTGAATATAGAGTACCGTGAAAGATGGTTTCGATACTGGGTGAAGAAAAAGTCAACCAATGTCTTTGAACATATGACAGGTTTATTCTACGACAGACCCTGCTTAATCATATAGATTCTCCTAATGGTTTACCGTCTCATCGTGGCTGCGAGGTGTTCCTGGGTGTCGGACTACGATGTACAGCGGGGATCCATTCCCTCGGCAGAATCTGCCAAGCTGAGGAGTGCGGCGTATCTATCAGAAAGCTCAACTAAAAGTAAACCAATGTCAGTAGGGTCCACTACCGTCCTGGTACCAAAGTAGTAGCATGGTGGTAAGTCTCCCTCTGATCCAATCCACAAAGGCCACGACTGCCTGTGGTGGCGACGACCTGAGTCACTTTCGTCAGGTTAACCTCAGGTTTCAAGGGAAGCACAATAGCTAAACCAGCAAAACTCCGAAAAAACAAGAATATGCCCTAAGGTCCGCACAGTCAGTGAGGACGGGTCGTCCAAATAAGATAAGATATGAAGAGAATGAAGAACATTGTTTCTGTAGTGCCTCAAAGAATTTGAAACAGATGTAATTGGTTTTAATACTGTATTGTTTAGAATCTATATTTTGCACTATACTGTAGCGCTGTTGCTGGTCTAATCACCAAACCTTAAGTTGTTCGCTTGGGAGTCGATATCTCTGATCGCTCACATAGCGTCCCAGGTTCTTTTTTATAATAAAGATTGCTAGCGTCGTCCCAAAAAAAGCAAAGTGTCAGTACAGTATGCTAATTTAACGCGGAATCGAACTTGTGTGTACCTGCCCACCAGCAACCTCAGCAATTGCAAAACACATACAATGTATCTGACCTATGCAACATTTAAATGACGAGCGCAGTGGCGTGTAAACAGATTCTTTCGCAAACGTCAATTTAGTAAGTCTGAAACCAAGCACACAAGGAGTTCATGGATCGTGCATGTCTGGGTCACTCATTGACTGACATAATCACAGGTGTTACGATTTTTTTCAGTGATTTGGTAAGAAAAAAAAAAGATACATACACAGAAGTAATAGTCTCTTCGCGAACTCCATAAAACTTCTTATAACAGTATACAAAGGGGTTCTATATATACTAGTATACTATGATACTACAAACATTTTTTGTTACAATTTATGCTCAGCATCCACGAGTTCAGTGGTTTCCTCTCACATAACAAGACTATACAAATGAAAATATTTTTAAATTTCAAGGTGGATATCTGGAAACCTTTATTATGTACCACTAGTTACACTTTCTAAGAATTTTTATCGCAAAATCCTAGTTAAAACCTCATCTAAGGGTTACTTAGAGCGTTTCCAATTTACGAATTACGATCGAAATCCAGTCAAATTAATGATGATGGAGGTAATCCGGATTGTAAAATAGTGAATGAGCATCCAACGATGTCTCTAGCGAACCAATGTCGTCATAATAAGCTTCCTTATAGTAATACTCGTACCTAAAGGTGTCCAGTTGAAATTTGAACAAGAACCTCATTCACATATTCATAAAACATACATTTGAACCATAAGGGAAAAAACACAATCAAAGTAATGAATTCACAATGTTATACCTTTTTATTTTCTGCCCACTATAATTTCGCGGCAGGGTACTAAGCGAAATACAACCACAACGTTGCTGAGATATTTGCAAAACTCTGGACCGCAGGTGTCTATGATGGGGAACGAACGCGTTATTATCCTTTCCGGGGAGTGACGCGTTCACCACCACACCATGCGGGTCCTTCGTTTTCAATCCCGCTGATAGGTGATTGCTGTGGCAAAAATCGATAGAAATAGCTGAGAGACAGGCGAAACGAAGGACCCGTATGGTGTGGTGGTGCACGCGTTACTCCTCGGAAAGGACAATAGCGCGTTCGTTCCCCACCATAGAAACTAATGAATTGTTGAAAAATACATATTTAAACCATGGATGTATAGAAAACAAAGTCACATTTTCACGGAATTGGAAATAATCTGAAAACCACAAGATGGGAGAGTCCCAGCCATTAAAGACCTCATCACGCCCAGGAATAGAAATGCTCACCAAGGTTCCGGAAGTACGTGGTGAATTCTCCAATTAAACATGCCCTTCATAGCATCTCCATTCTCTCTGATATAGCCATAACCATATGGTGATTTCAATACCTAAGCGCAATTAATTAGAAGAATTTGTCTTATTTCGGGGTAAAATCATGAAATCGCATGGTCACACCTCATTGCGCATAACGTACATGAAGTGTCCTTGATCACGTGGATTGATGTAGAGTTCTCCAACTTCGTGCGTAGCTATTCCACTGAACGCGTTAATTCGGGCATCTACTTTCGAAGTAACACTAAAAGTTTGAGTAACCTTTCGGAAAACTGTCTGTACCCATATAGATAGACACTTATTATTTTAGATAGACAAACTGACTGCATCCGCTTCTCCATCCATCCGACCTCATCCAATATTTCGCACCACTCCTCCATGACATCTCCGGAGTGCCATTCAAAGAAATCCAAATCCAAACGTTCAATATCTTCAACAACTGTGTCGGCGTCGCCCGGTCGTGTCCAGTCATAAGCCAGAATTTTAGAATGTCTTCTAAAACGAAAACTCAAAAGGAACATATGCACGGTGCCAATGAAAGCAGTTATATGCCGTGTGTTTTTACGTACTGGTAATATGGTATCTTCTGTTACATACTAATTAGCCTGTCTAAAACTTCAAAACCAGTTGGCTTGATACAGTCATGGGCAAAGATAGAATTTGTATAGCAATATGATCTTTAACGCTGTTCAGAACGGCCACAGTGGTCGGGACAAGGCGATATCACATTTGCATACAACACTAAGAATTTGGAACTGATTGTATTCTAATTAAAGGGCAACTATAGCCATTCCTGCGGATCAGTGAGCTTAGTAGACAAATTCACTACTTCTACGAAAATGATCCAGTCAATTGAGCAAAGTATGGGCCACGGCCTCCCAGCCGACTAATTTCCTTGGGCATTTGTCTCAGGTAATGACTCTACAAAACCATTGTTTATTATTATAAAACTAGCCATTTATGACTCCAATAGACACCTGAAGCTGTGCAAATGTTGGCTTTTCGAGAATCCGAGAACCGAGAGAGAATGACCTATACTTCACACTCGATTTTTTATGGGTTATTAACATCTAGATCAACTATCTAGCAAAATATGACACCTTACGGATACAAAGAGGTTTCATACCTAAATTTCTAATCCACAGAGTAGTAATGCTGGGAATACAATGTTAATACGTAGCATTTCCCAGAACCGACTACCTATTAATCACGGCGTTGTTCAATAAGTCAAGTTTTTCTTGTTGAATAGATACAAGGTTGTTAACAACAAGGGAGGTGTTTAGAAAGCTCCGGTTTAAAGAGACCGTTTGCAGTGATTAAAATACCATCAAGCACCCTAGAACGTCGTAACGGTTTGCATGACTGTCCGTGCACAATAAAAAATCGCATAATTTACCCAAACGGTAGAGACTGCAATTGCATGCGTTTTTGTACAGCGATTCTTTTCAAAGTATGTGGGACGAATTGGCGAAATGGGTAGAACACTCTGCTTCCAAGTAAAAGAGCACTTAGTTGTAACTTAAAGTCAAATTCGGAACACTGCTGGACATGTATAAGACACGAAGAGATAACGGAGAAGATTTTGAAATAGAATTCACTGTGCTAGCACAAGAAGCTAAAATACGTGAGTACAAAACTCTTAAAATATTATGCACAAATTTTAGAGATTAAGAAATGAATCGCAGCGATGAGTGCCTCGTTATCGCACAAGATCTAGCGACAAACAGGCTGATTTTTTCGGCTGAGAAAGGAGCACTGCTTACCCATTCAAGGTTCTGTGCGGTTGGTCTCCAACGATAACTAGAAAACTTACAGAGAACAAAACAGTGAGCATTTCGATAGAGTTGTTACCACGCAAGTGAAATTTATTCACAGCTCTAGCTTAACTGGGTTCAGTGCCAATTTTGCTCCCCAGATAATTCCCGTTGACAGGTGACTGCTGATGGCACCACTAGACAAAAAGCTAGTTGACAGAAATGCAAAGCAAGGGCATCGGTAATGCAATGGGTAACGAGTGAATCCCTGGAGAGGGTAATCGAGGGTTCGACTCAGGTCTAGGATCTGAGTTTTGCAAACATCTCACCTTCACTATGGTGGTACTACACATCAAGCGCTCTTTGCCATGAAAAAATAACAAGAAGTAAAAGAGAAGTTGCATATTAAAATTTATTTATTTATTTTGTTTTCTCTATTTAGGTAATAAAATTGTTTGATTGGGCATATTGCATGCCAGTTTCATCTTTCCGGTCTCCGAAGAAAACGATGCCAACGAAACATCAGCCAGTATTGAATAAATCATGTAATCCACTCCTTTTATTTTTGGTACTTTAATCACGAAGTCGTTTCCAGTCATTCAGAACAAAGTAATCTATACATGGTAAAAGAAAAGGATCTTTTCGAATTACCAAATCGACTTCATAGGTTAAACCAAAGGACGCCTCAGAAAGGATTATGAATTTACAACGAGAAACCTAAACCTATTCCTAAAAAAGATGTTAAAAAGCTTTAAAAAAGGTGGGTTATGCTCTCATAAAAAACACACTTTTTCGTCAAAACAGCCAACACAACAAAAAATAAAAAGACCGACCTGTATTCTTTAAGAGAATCTTTGTAGGAATCCTCAATTACTTTCAAATACCGATCATCCAAAACAGCAATCTCGTTAGCCTAGGAGTATAAAAAGAATTGAAACGAATACGTCCATAACAGCGAAACCAAAAAGTGATTGTTAGGAAAACAATGCGGTGGAAAAAAAAAACCTACATTTCTACGAGCCTTGATGTTCTCAAGACATTTATGGACCGGTGTGTCAAGAAAGACGACGAGATGAGGCCAGAAATGCAGTTGTGGTATAGCACATTTACGTACATAGTAGTAGTGCTTGAAATCTAAGATAATTTTTGAAGATATTACGCTACACGTAACCCTAACCCGCAATGCTGGTTTTTCGATAACTGGCTTTAAAAAAGATATATGTATGTATGTATGTATGTATGTATATATATATATATATATATATACATTTATATAAGACATTCTACAAACTTTAAAATTTCAAAGTTCCAAACACGAGTATGGCAGTAACAAACACTAACGGTGCATTGGGAAACAAAATTATGATTCTAACTTATTATTTATTGCGCGCTCTTTTTAACGGCAGGGTACACATTGCGAAATATAACTTCAATGATGCTGAGACCGTGATGCTCTTTGCTCCCCTCAAACAAGCGGCACTCCTTATGGGTTGTAGCTCGTCAAGAGAGCGAATGTTTATTTCGCTGGTACTCATGTTATTCAAAGATATTTATTTCAGAAAAGTATGCAAGTACGCCTTGGGCATTGTGAACGCACATTCAGCAATCTTTGTACGAAAGAAAAACCAATGCTTTTAACCACTTCCTTGATTTCGATTTGCAAAAAAAAACTCCATCGATCTCCTTATGTAACTGGGAATGTTCCAACATCTAAGACAACATGATCCGATCTACGTACAACTCATAAGGACCAATGGAAAAATAAGGAAGGAATTTTGTTCAGGCTCGTATTAAGTTAACTCCTAAACTTTTTCAGTTATCAAGAAATTATTGGTAAGTTCCGAAAAACTCGCTCAATATTGAATCTGTTAAGCATATTTCCGTAAATACAACCATAACTTCTATAACGCCAAGATATTTGCAAAACTCCGAATCGCAGGTGTCTGCGGTGGAGAATGAATGCGCTATTATCTTTTCCGGAGAGTAACGCGTTCATCATCACACCATGCGGGTTCGCAACATATCCTGCCGTTAAAAAGAATAGGCAGAAAATAAAAAGGTTAACACTGTGAATACAACTATATTTAGCGTTTTGTTCTACGACAGTACAACCTACACGAACTACTAATCTCTTATGTTAGCGTTCTACACTTCTTACTTTACCGAAAATCTTAACATAAGATTGCGTTCACAATAAAACCTTTGTAACAGAACACATCCAATGTTCACCAAATTAGTATCCTGAGGTAAAAACTGCCTTTTCAATTTTACCACCATTTTGGGGTAACAGAAAGAATAAAAAATTACTCACACTCATGTCCTATAAAATTCTTGATTCGCATAGCATTCACAAAGACGAAATCGGAATATGGACTTCTTTCCAAAACAACTCCTTGACCTAAAAAATATCGTGTTGTTTCACAAAATTTGATGGAAATGAAACAATGGGACCATGGGACCATCTTTTTCGAATGTTTACCGCACTTACAACCCTTAAAACTATTTACTGACTCACAATAGAAAACGAAATACTTAACAATCCACACTTCCTCAAGGAAACGTTAGGAAGTTATGCTTGCTAGATACCGATGACCTACATTGGTTGACACTGCTACCTCTATCTAATCTTCTGAACGGTTTACCACCTCATCGCGGGTGGCTTCCTGAGTGTCGAACTACGATGTACAGTGGGGCGATTTATCCCCTCGGCTGGGTCTCGCTGACGAGCCCAGCGTTCCAGTCATAAAAAAAAACCTAACTAAGACTAAAGCAATACCAGGATCCACCACCGTTCTGGTATCACACTAGTCACATGGTGGTAAGTCTCCCTCTGGTTTACAAGGGCCGCGATTGCCCGTGGTGTTGACGGCCTTGAGCTGACTCTAACCAGACTGACCTCGGGACTTCAAGGAAACAATGGCTAAACCAGCAAAACTCGGAAGAAACGAGAATATGCTGGGGCCCGCACAACACGTAAGGACGGTCGAAGTGTCCAAATAGGTACCTGTATTCAATATATGAGCCACAGCGTTCAAATACTGATCGAAACGGCATTCGAATATGCGCTGTTGCATTTTTGCTGTCATATCGCTCATCGGATTTTTAAAGAACATGTCCATGTCAGGCATTCGATAACACTCAGGGAACTAAATTTGAGTGTAGTAAGATACAATAATAAAGAACATAACGAAAAGTTGAAGATAACTTCCCCACCAAGTGATAAAACTTCCTCAAATCATTCCCGTATCGATCAATGAGTACATCCTCCATCTTAAACTCAGGCATGTGGTAACAACCAAGATGGTCCGCGAGTTCCGCGGCAAGAGTAGACTGTCGATGGAAATGATAAGAAATATCGTGTGATAAAATAGAAAACCACAAACCAAGTTAGTAGGACAACAAATAGGCTGAGATATTTGCAAAACTCCGGCCCACAGATGTCTGTGGCTGGGGTCGGACCCGCTACAACTCTTCTTCTCGAGGGGTAACGTGTTCACCGCCACACCATGTGGGTTCTTCGTTCTGCATTTGTCTCTTAGCCGTGTTTGATCCATAGGTAATATCAGCAATCACCCATCATCGGGATTGAGCAAGATTATAGGTATTATGGAAAACTATGAGCAACGAACCTTTCCTGCACCGACATTTCCTTCAACAACTATTAGCTTCGAGTTTTGATGGAAATGTGGTTTAGTTCTGTCACGTAAAGCATCAATATAGTTGAAGCCTCGTTCTTTATACGGCCAAGGATCAGGGTAGTCATCAGGAAGCCTAGATTTTCGTTTGCTACCACAGAATCCGAAACACGGGATGATTCCAAGAACTAGATTTCAATTCTTTACGCGTGAACAATCCAATAGGTTTAACTACTGCCAAAAGCATTATCTGAACTATTTATTTTGAAAAATATGAACAGTACTTCAGCACGCTTCTATGCACCATGTTCCTGTGTTGCTGGGCCCCAAAAACACAACTGGTGGGCAGAAACCGTCGTACTGCTGTGCTCAACTTTGGGATCGACGACGCCATGGATGCCCAAGGCGAGCAAGCACTACACAGATTTATCTGCAGAAAAACCTATATCCATTTTTTGTCCAATGAACTGGCAAACCAATTCAATCCTCCCCCGGAAATTACAATTCCACCCCGTGTTCAGCACATTTTCAAAGCCGTTATCAAGAAAACACTGCTGTGGCAATGTACCATCGTACATCATTCGCACGTTTTCACCAAAAATTTATTACAAGATACCTCAAAACACTTCTGCTACAGTCATTCACACAAGAAACCAGTCCTGAAGGGCGATCTCTCTAGACAGGTACGCTCTTCCCTAATTGAAAACAGCCTTATTCGACTTAGTAGTCATTGGAAATCCGCGTCACCCGCATCCTAGAGATAATACGTGTGCTAAGCAACCCACCAGAAAGGGATAAAAAGTTAGAAAAGCTTGCGGACTGTAATTAAACAGGTCGTCTAAACCAACAATTCTAACAAAAGTGGAACAAATTCACAACAGTAACTCAATAACATCATTCTCCACAACATCATAAAGAACAACTGCTCCAGAACACTTGGGATAAGGTGAAATGTGTGACACTCGAGAAATGTTATCTTCTGTCGCGACCACCATACGGTGGAGGAGGTCCACGAAAACGGCGATCATCACGTCCATATCCATTATCTCTGAAAACAAGACTCTTCTGTGCAAATTTCCACGATATTCCTATCGCTATGTTCTAAATTAACAAAGTAACTGAAACTATAAAATAGAAGCAAACTACCTTCGATCCCGACCATAACCACGGTCACGATCGTAGCGATCATTTCCACGATCACTGATGCGGTTATTTGCACGATCACGTGAACGACTACGGTGTTTTGAAGACCCATTCCTGTCGTAATCACGATGACTGTCTCGTGGAGGAGCACGAGGAGAATCTCGGTCGCGATCGCGGTCACGCGGACCATCCAATGGAGGTAGTCCGGCAGCTTCACGTTCTTCAATCGCAGCACGAGACTCACGCGCACGTCGAGTGTCTCCCTTACCACCACCTAAACAACACTGAAGTCAGCACTAAAGAAATACTAGAAGAAAAAGAACCAACTGTGCAGCAAACAACTTTTTTCACACATCGGAAGAACTGTGATAATGCAAAAATATGGCCCCGGATAGAGGAATAGCTATGAATAATGCCACTAGCTCGAAATTCTCAACACTGAGACTTTAAGTTTGGAAATACAAAGAAACGCACCGAGTCTTCTGGGTAACCACGATTTCTGAGTACGACCTCTTTCATAGTCAACGATAAGTCTACGTCCATCAACTTTGGTTCCATCGGCCCGTTTGTAAGCATCTAAAATTCGTGGCCTTAACAATTGTCGAAAGAAACGCTCACCGTTACCTGGCACAACAGAGAAATTACACGCAGGGCTGGTGGATTGTATTCGATAGTTCGGCGGCCGGTACTATTTAGAAAAGAACTTACGCAGCAAACTTACGGTCCGACTAAACTTACATTGCGCGCACAGAAATCACTGCCATCGAGGTACAGCACAGTGAGAGAAAACTTACCCGTATGCTTACCCGAAAATGACAAAAACTCGAAAAGTCACCTACACGCAAACAACTCACGACCGCCAACAGGACAGTCGTGATCCCTTTTTGGGTGTATGTTTTTGACTCAAACAAATTACACAATGAATGGAAAGGTTTACCACGGCTCCGAAACATCGCCTAGTGTTCAATGACGAAGTTCAAATGAAATTTAACACCTTAATTCTACAATAGGTAAAGTATGCACTCCCCTTAATTTTCTCAAAAGGCAAACTTCTGCTTATGATCGAGCGAAAAAATGCCCCCATAGGAATGAGTAATTGGTAGTCATAACCCCCAAATTACTCTGCATTCAAATGAACTTCGTCTTAAACAAACCTATTCATTCAACCAGTAACCAGCGCAAAAGTAGAGAATATGAACCTCTGCCGAAGTGCTGTAAGAAAACAGCAATTATTCTCGTAATATGACCACAACAGATTAGCCAACTATGCTTGAGGCTGTTACTAAGCGCATTCCAACTTAGACACCCTACAGCCGCGCATGTTTCCCTTCAAAACTATCAAATAATTTCCAAAGAGTAACTAGTCAATCAGACAGTAGGAAAAATGAAGAAGAAATATCAATTCGTAATCTGTAACAAAACTGACTAGACATTTCCGCTTTATCACTGTACTCTATGAATGCATACCCTCGCGGTTTCCCATTCAAATCGTGGATCATCGCCAGCTGAAAACGAAACACATCCGAACTTTCAATAAGCTTAGAAAATTGAACGAAACAAAGAAATCGAAGTCCACTGCGTTTTGCTTACCTTCTTTATCTTTCCATAGGTTTCAAACTCACGCTTCAATCTATTTTCGGAGGTTTCATAATTCTGAAAAAAAGGATGTGAATGACCCAGAAGGAAGAGTCTAAAAAACATCTGCTTATGCATCATCCAATACTAACAATTCTAGCGACGAAAAGCGTCTTGTACGGATCTTCCGTGGCATTCGGATTATCTGCAGGATTCCATTGCGCAATACCTTGCTCTACCTAAATCGAAACAAAACCCTAGCAATCTTTTTGAAGAGTGATTGCTGATGACAGCGTTAGGTACAAAACTAACTGAGAAAAGCAAAGCAAGGGTCTCAGCGGTGTCGTACCTAACACGTGAGTCCCCGGAAAGGGTAATCGTGGGTTCGATCTAGCGTAGTGTCCAGGTTTTGCAAATATCACAGCATCATAGTGGTCCCATTTAACAAAACTTCTTAATTTTTAGAGACTTCCGTGACGAATTTGTTACCCAACAAACATAGCTTATGCTATGAATACAAGTAGCATGTTTTTACTCAATACCTACGCACATTTGCATAGGGTTTACAGGTTATATACGAAGGATATAAGTTAGTCCTGGATAGTAGAAACAATAAGCCCATCTAGTGAATATATTTGCGCTCCAAAGTGAACACGTGATTGCTTCTAGTATCTGTTTCACCTCTATTCGCTACCTCGGGATTCTTCTAGACCTTTCTCTGTTGCCCTCAACTCACAAACAATTCGGTTTACATATCATATATGGAGAGGTAAACACAGCAGAGACAACAAGAAAATCTATGAAAACTTCCCGACCTTATAAGCTAATAGCTCCTCTTTCTCCCGTCTTCTCCTCTCCTTCTTCTCCGCTTTCGTTTCAATAATCGGCTTTGGAGGGGTGTCCATCGGATCCTAAAACATCCCAGTTAAGTAGTTCCTACTCTAACATATCTTCTTTAATTCAGAAACAATATACACTCAGCTTGCTATGTAAAATACGGCCACATCCATCTATACTGAAATTTAATGTCAAGAACAAATCTAGTATACAAAAACCTTTGTCCTCACCTCAAATAAGCCAACATATTCACCGATCCCCGTGATAGTAGTACATTTTCCTTTTTCTCTTTTGTCGATAAGCAAATCCGTAGGTGGTGGCAGGTATGGAATTGGCGGTCGAGCTTCGAACAACGCCAACAAGTTTGGCGGCAAGCAAGCGGTCATTTCTGGAAAACTATTGGTTAGTAATTCCTGAAATCGACTTTCTGTTAACCTCCACATCGATCAACAATTCACTGCTTTTCCTTAATGAGCCAACACGAGGCTCCCATCATAGCATTTATTACATAATAGCTGACGTTTCTGCGGTTTCCCCTTCTTCACAGCCGTTTTATTCGTTGAAGGTCTTCCAGTTAATTGGTGGAAAGCAGTCGTACAGAGTATTACGTTGGAAAGTAATCTGAAGAAGGCGAAACTACTGAAACGCCAGCTATTCTGTGCTAATAAGTGCTATGATAACAATCTCGTTTTTGCTCACTGAAGAAAAGCAGCAAGTTATCGAATGGAATTATTGATCTAGCAACTATAAATGGACGGAAAGAGCTGATATGGTCTCACGAAAGCACAAAAATCCACAAACTCAACACAGAGCTATATCGATCGATACGCCACGGAGCACGCTACGCCTGCCGCGAAACGACGCCGGCGCCAGTATTGATCCGCCCCGCGGGCGCGTCCTCCGTATTTCCTTTGCGCCAGCGCCACAGCTTGACGTTTTTCCATTCATTCAGTACGTTCAGTTACAGTAACAAGATTTGAAGTGGTGACGTCATCGACGAAGATTTGTGAGCCAGTAATGACTGGTACTAGAAAATATAGAGGAGAAGATGTTAATTCATGAAAATTATGAATTTCTAGACATCGATGCTCGGAGGAAGCGCCGAGCAGCCGATTATAGTCGATAGGGTCTATGACAAGCAGGTCCTGGACATAGAATCGTCGGTAGGTTGTATTCTGTGCGCTTTAAATTATCGTGTATCGACAAGGGGATCATATTTTCGTGTTCACAAAGATCTATGAGCACGACTAGCGTCATTTCCATTGCAGGTACTGGATTGAAGCAACCTATGAACTCGGTTCTTATCGTGACTGATTCATTTCTGCGAAATAATTCTCGTCTGGGCAATTATTCCTGTGATCGTATTCCATTTGTCGAAATCGGAATAGGTAGTGAAATGTAGAGAGCATTCTGGCTTCTATCATTTGCATAACATACAATGCATACCGTCTGGCTTGTGGCTACGGCTGCTGTTTTTTACGGAGGGAGTTTCTAAGGAAGCGATTCCGGAGGGCTTTGGATTGCTGATATATTGTCATTGAAATGTAGTGAAACTTTTTACTCTGTCTTATTTTCACATGGTCCGTGTTTCACATTCACTACTGACCGCAGCACTTCTCACATTCGATTCATTTCTTCGCATCCTTTGTCCACGAAGGCCTTTCAAGTTTTAACCCCGGGTTTCGGCTGTTGCTTGAGGATTTTAGTTCCCATCATGAATGTCGTAGAATGTTGGTCGCCTCGACTCTCTTTGGAGTGCTGAGATAGCCGGGCTGGAGCGCTCCCAAATGCATTGCAGAGAGCGGTTTTTCCCGGACAAGTTCACTACGAACCCCCGACTCCTGAGGGATGAGAAGCTTGGTGAGCCTGGTGTGGGATCGAACCAGCAACGTGTTCGTGACGATCAGTACCGCTACCATTGATAGTTAAACTAGTGTGGTTTCTGGAAAGTGCTAAGCTATATACACGTTTCCATAGCGAACTTTAACAGGATAAGAGCTGAGAAGCAGTTGAGAAATCGATTGGCGATTGTGCCATTACAGGGGGAAATTCCTGACTTCTGGTGTTTGAAAACGAATCACCGGAACTCTCTCAACTCTTGATCACAAACAAACCTCGGATCGGAAGGAGATTTGTCAATTTAGGACTGGATTGCTGCTAGAACGATGGCGATTGTTGTAACTGGTTTGCACTTAGCTCCGGATGGAAATGCCTCGTCATCAGTTGGGAAGAGCCCACTGGGCTACGACTTTCCGATAAGTGGTGACCCAGTGAGGAGAGTGGTGTAGCAGGACCATCCATGATTGTGAACATGGGCTTTGTAAACATTAGAAATATTCAGGATCGGAAGAACTTGTTTTTGTGTTGTTTCACTTGGCGAGAAAAGTGTCTGAAGATTCTTAATGTTATTCTCCTACACACAAGTTACGAATTTCTTTTTTCTGATAAGTGTCGTCTCCAGGAATTGTTGGAAGAAGTTGGAGAATACGACGAGTCCATTGATCAATCGCTTCATGACACTTACGGTGAGGACGGTGAGCACGACAACACTATCGATGGTTCGTACGGTGGCATGCCACTCGAGCTCTACGATAACATCGTAGAATTCAAAAGGTCAGTCCTCGAAAAACTAAGTCTGTGAAGAAAAGTGTTCTTCCCGTGTTTGTGTTGGCGTAGTGGATAGTACGTGAGTCCAGGAAAGGCTAATCGCAAGTTCGAAGCGCATCCAAGGTTCCAAGTTTTGCCCCTATCCCAGCATCCTTGTGGATATATTTCACGCCATACCCTTCCGTGAAAAATAAAAGGCAATAAATAAAATTTGGAGCATTTTTTTCTCCTATGTCTGCCGTACAAATGCAATCCTTGACTGGTTGTGCTCGTAGATCTGTACTCTATTAGGGGTTAGGTTTACTATTTTAGGTTATTTTAGAATTATATAGGTTACTATTAGGGGTTTGCTAAGGGTATCAGGATCTAATAGGGGTTAAGATTATTACTTCAGGGTTATGCGAAGTTTCAAAACAGAAAGAAATATTTGTACTATTCATTGTGCTTCATTACATTATTCCATTTTCGCACTTCGTAAGCTTTTGGTTAAATACAGCATCAAATTCCCTAACCGCGAAGCCAATTTTGAGACCTTATGTGTCATCTCATCTTACCGTAAAGCAATTAGAAGCTTAAAGACTTTAAAGTTACTAAACCTAAGCACCAAAACACATTGCTATTACGCCATTCGAGTTGATTGTACCATCGATTTGATGGTACCTTGTTATTTAATTTAATAATATCGCTATACCAGTAATCTGAAACTACGTTATCCATGTTGATCGTCAGTGGATCAGCGATGCAATTCTCTCAAGAAAAACGATGCTACTTATCCCGTACATCACTTGGGACAAATTCTGGACTAATTAAAGAATTATCGGTTCTATCATTAAGGATTTCAGTTAGAACAGACGTTTACTCAAAAAAATTATTAACCTTGTGGAAGCTTATGAAAGAAAGATACACCTTGATTGGCCACTGCCTCTAGCGAAGATCTGGGATCGCCCCTACGTCGCTGTGCCAGAATTCCGGAGAGAATCGACTCGACCAGCATTCAGCGTCATTCGTAAACAAGACCGAAATCCTCAAACAACAGCTTAGTCCACAGGTATGTCCGAAGATTTTCGTGGATGAGGAATGCCAGACAAAGAATGGGATCAACGACGTGCTGGGATCTGCCCAATATGTAATGTTGGGCACGTAAAATAAGTAAATAAAATGAATCATGAATAGTTCCCAGGATCGACTTTCTGTTAACCTCGGCATTGGAATATGAATGCGTCGTTTTCTTCTTCAGCAATCACGAGGTTGTTACATGGCACACATCTCAATACAAAAACTCGATACAACAGTAGCTGACGTTTCGGCAGAATCCCCTTCTTCAGAACCTGGAAGGGAGTGCGGATGATCGTGAGAAGTGCTGGAGTCGGCAGAGAAGATGTGAAGACGGGCGTACGAATTTGAAAAACAAAACGAAATAAAAATTAGAAGAGCTACCACCCTTGCAAAATTTGAAATGTTGGTCATTTAAGTATTTTAGTATTTCACCAGAATTCCCAGCTTTTACGCCTTATTTTATTTGTGTTCGCTTACAGAAGATTACAAAAAGGTATTATCCGGACCAGTGCTTTAGACAGTTGTAACACATTTAGTACTTAACGTATCTTGTATAGTGTAAGTGCATTTTGGGTGCATGGAGGTTCAACTCAAATGTGACAAGTAACGTTTCGTCTAAAACGGTCACCACAATGATGCTGAGATATCCGCATAATTTGGGCCCCAGGCCAGATCGGACCACGATTACCTTTCCCGAGGGAATGCGTGTTACCCACCGAGGCCTTTGCATTGCTTTTCTCTCAGCCAGTTTTCTGACTCTAACTAACGGCGCCATCACATATGGTACAGTGGTCACCGTTTAGAACTGGAACGTATCCAGCAAATATCGGTGCTCGACACGATCGCAGCGCCCTGAGTCATTGGCGGTGGGTTCCCTAGTTTTGTACGAATCTTTATTTTTCTCCTATTTAAAGTATTTGCCTGGAAAAACTTACAGCATAGATGCTCTGTTTTCTCAGAAGTGTGAAAACCTTGAACAGAGTCACGAGACTTCTCCTTGATTTAGTGCGAGATGTATGCGGTTTGTGCTAGCGGACGATAATGAAACGTTACTTTACTATAATCCATCCAGTAGTGTGAATGACCAACCAAAAGTGGTCGTGAAAAGAGGAGAAGTGCGTCGTGTTATAGAGCGAATACACGATCTGATTGGTCATCTAGGACAGAAACGCACGTAAGTTGAAGCATGTTCATGGTAAATAAGGTGTAAAAAACAAGCGCGGTAATCGATACCAATATTTCAGAACCGACTTTGCTTTAACCTTGCTGTAACCAATCGATGTGTATCTTTTCCCTGATAAGCTTACACTAGGTTGATATATAATCTTTATTCAGCTAGTATTTCAACGTTTCATCGGAGCCAATGATCCGAGTCGATGGTCCACAGTCCATCGAGAAAACGAACAACTTTGGACCATCGACTCGAATCACGAGCTCTGATTAAGACGAAGACATTGAAACACTAGCCGAATAAAGATTGTATATCAACCTCGTTTAAGTCTATCAAGGAAAAAATACATGTCGTAATCTACTAAAGTAGCCATGTTTTTGCAATGGGTTTCTTTGGTCGTCTTCGAATTACTTAGTTTGTCCAGGAATAGTCATTTTAGGTTTGAACGGAAGCAGATTGAGAAGTCGCAATAACATGTTTGTTATTGGAAAAATTTTTCGGTGTTCACTCACTTTTCATACACATCGTCCACCTTTCGCTTGCGAAAAGCCCTCAAGGCGGTTGAAACTCATTGCTTAAGAAGGCCACGACTAACATTGCCATTGACCATATGAATTGATACCGATGCGCATGTACATGTTTAAATAACAACGGTTGTAATCTACAAATCGTTGTCAATTAGACTAAATTTCTCTCCAACACTACTAGGATCAAGTCCCGATTGCCTTGAAACCCATAAACTTTCTTTTTTCGTTTTTTCTGGTCAAGGCTCGTTTCCACAAAAGTAAAGAGTTTGAACAAATGGGATCCTATCCAGCAGGAATTGGTGGTGCCCTGAATAAACAGTTGACATCTGTGTTTGTAGCGTTCGCGTACTACGGTTCCCCCTCATATGAGGGATCCTGATAGCTGGTTAGTCGCGAGGGTACATGGAGCGTCCCCGGGTGGCGGATAGGAGGTTAGTCGCAGACTAAAAGCGACCTTTGCTTCTTTTAGACGAAGGTGGATGCAGGGGATGGATTCCGTACTTCTGCTGCTCTAATTTGGCACATACCTTCTGTATTTACGAGGCGTATTCATGCATGCCAGTGTGGGCGTGTTCTAGTTTATGCAGATTGTATTCTACGAGTCAGTTCGGCCAAATGCCTGCAATTAAGTGACAGGGAAGTATATAGGAGGCGGTTAGAAGCTCCAACAAATAAGCTCCATGTCCGCTCTGCGAGAGTCTGGCAAGCCAGTCGTGAGTATACTCAGCCTCCACGTTCAGAGCCCAGCAAGTTGTACGTGGGTATGAAAAAACTAAAAACAGTAAAAGAAACGGGCCTCATTCTCCTGATTCCGAAAGAGCTCCCAATTCTTCAGCGTTGGGTAGGACGAGTACGGAGAGGCTGCTAAAATCTCACGACCAATGGAAACTGCCTGGATTTCAGAGAACTATGGTGACGATCTGTACCTACAATACACGTACACTTGCATCCGAGTCCTCGATAAAAGGTTTGCTCATGCAAGCAAGAAGGATAAGGTACGACGTCATCGGCCTGGCCGAGACGAGAAGACGCCACCCATTCAACGCTGCCTATGACACCGGAGAAGAACTGTTTCTCGGAACATGCGACAGTAGAGGAGTCGGCGGCGTCGGCGTTCTCGTCAACACGAATTTGTCCATGAACATGTCCATAAACGATTTATTCGAACAGCTTACAAACCGAATCGGACCATTACGATTAAAAAGATGTAGATCAATACCAGCTTTGACAGTCTTCGTCGTTTACGCGCTGACATCAAACTACGACGAAGAAGAAGTCGAAGCGCTCTATATGTACTTGAAGATGTTCTACAGAGGAGACCACATATTCTTCAAGGTCACCATTGGAGATTTCACTGCCAAGATTGAACCAAGAAGAGCGTCACATTGGGACCCACGGATTAGAATGGAAAGAACAGGGTGAACGGCTTTCTGAGTTTATCATGGCGACCAAGACAATCCACGGTAACTCGCAATTCCAGAAGCCCCACCATCAGCGTTGGACGTGGGGTTTCCTAATGGAGAGTACCATAACGAAGTAGTCCACATCATAGTAACTAGAAGGTTTTGCCCAACCGATGTCGCTGTTGTCCCAAAATTCTACACGGAATCAGACCACCGTCTCCTTCGTGTAAGATTCTATTTCTCACAGAAAGCAGAAAAAGCCGTTAATTTCAAAAACCGAAGTTCGAGAACCACCGTAAACTGGGAATTACTCAATTCATTAGTCGGCTTTTGGAAAGATAGCGTTGTCGAGAACATCGACGAGGAATACGATCGACTCATTCAACATCTTCACGTTAGCGCTATGAAAGCTGAGTTCGAAAGTCACCAAGAGACGTCTGTCTCCAGAAGCACTCGAGCTGATACGCCAGCGTGGAATCGCGCGGGCTGCAGGCGACCGCGAACTAACGTCCGAGCTTGCAAAACAATGCAGACAGGTGATAAAAGAAAATCTTAAAAAAAGAAAAGCAGCAGTATTTGTCGAAGCTGCAGAGACTGGGAAAAGTATTCACAAAGCCTACCGAAGCTTCGCCAATTCCAAAGCCAAGATGATATGTTGTACTACCGGTTCTACCTTCTGAAATCCATGTCACTTCGTCGATGAAAAATAGAACAGCACCAGGTACGGAAAGAATAAAATCACAACATCTGAAGAACCTTCCTCCAGTTCTCGTAAACACACTGGCTTGGCTTACCACACGTTACCTGTTTGAATGCAATGTCTCTACTCAGTGGAAGACCACCAAGACCGTGTTATTGTTCAAGAAGGGTGATATATGCGATATAGGCACGATATAGGCAACTACCGCCCAATCTGCTTACTGCTTGTCGTCTACAAATTTTTCACTCGAGTCATCTTAAACGGGATTGACAGAACACTGGATGAAGGATAGCCATGTGAGCAAGCAGGGTTTCGAAAAGGATTTAGTACGATGGACCACATCCACACGATAACAAAACTCATTGAAGTATCGCAAGAGTACAAAAGAGAGCTTTATCTCACTTTCATCGATTCAAAGAAAGCTTTTCACTCAGTTGAGATTGAAGAAGTATGGAAGCCCCTTATAGTCAAGGAGTCCTACTCAGTACATCGAGATTCTTCGTGAGCTGTACAAAAATTTCACAACCAAGATATCACCATTTTAGTTAAGGCGATACTATCTTACCAAAATTATTCACCGCCACCCTCCAGAATGTCATGCAATCATTGGAATGGGATAATATGGGAGTGCAAATCGATGGTCGACCGTTACACCATCTCCGATTTGCTAATGATATCGTCCTTATAACACCAAACATTAGCCAAGCGGAACGTATGCTTGACGACTTTGATAAAGCTTGTGGAAAGATTGGTCTTCGACTAAATCTCACAAAACGATGTTCATGAATAAGGGATTACTTTCGTATACCCGTATGCCATTCACGCGCAACGGAAAGAATATCGCTGAATGCTCCAGTTATGTCTATTTAGTCGGTAAATCAATATGATGAACGATTTAGCTCCAGAGCTGAGCAAAAGGAAACGAGCGGCTTGGTGAGCTTTCAAGGACATCGAGGATGTAGTGAAAAGAACAAAGAACACACGACTCGGTACCCACCCTTTCGACTCAACGGTACTTCCTACCCTAGCATATGCGTCAGAAACTTGATCGCTGCGTAAGAAGGATGAAAGGTCACTCAGCGTTATCGAACGCGCAGTCGAAAGAACGATGCTAGGAGTATTCCGTTTCACACAAGTAAGGGATGGGATCCGAAGCTCCGACCTGCGTCAACGGTTCAAAATCAAAGATGCCGTTCCGTGCACCAAACAGTCGAAGATAAAGTGGGCCGGAAACGTAATGCGTATGAATGAAAACCGATGGACAAGAGTCGTTTGTGACAGGATTCCTCGGGATGTCAAGCGTACTTCAGGAAGACCACCGACCCGACGGTCAGAGTTCTTCACAAAGAGCCTTGAAGAAACATTTGATGCCCGACGTGTCCCAAGGGCGAGCAGAACCCACTGGGCTACTCTTGCACGCGACAGGGAAGAATGGAAGATTTACTGGCGCCCGCTCGAGTCACTCGAAGATCAATGGGGTTACAGGTGGCATAGGTGATCAAACACTAACAGAATCAATTTTATATCTCTGTGAGCTGTGAGACAATCAATGGGACTACAAGTGACAGGTGATACAGCGTTCTCGTAGAAATACCAAAAATCACATTAGTTTTCTTTAAGGAGGAGGAGATGGCACCAAAACATTAGCAGGATAAAACATGTATAGCAACCTCGTGTTAGCTCAATCATGTAAGGAAAGGTATTGATCATTGTTACCAAGATTTAATGAAAGTCGGGGTAGTGTAAATCTGAGCACTGTTTCCAGTTTTGTAAAAGTGACAAGCAGTTCACTTTTAATTGTTTGAAAATTTGAAATGTATGCGAACTTAGAATTAAAATAACATCTTGAACTGTCTGCACAAACTCTGAGATTGATCGGTAGAGGAAAGTATCTTCTATAGGTGTACCATGTTCTCAACTCTTCAAGTAATCTGGTTACAGAGAAGTCACCATAAATTTTCGAAAGAACCACAACCATTACGAATATGCTACTTAACACATAGCACTCAACGTTCAGTACTGCATGAATACAGCATAGGACAGCGCGTAATTTCATATTGAGGCAACTCGTCCGCCTCCTCACCTTCCTGTAATAGGCAACGATTTCTGGATAAATAAAGGAGTTGAGGGGTTGGGAACAGAACAGAGTCATAGAATAGGCTTCTCTGTAGGGGTACATGCTACAGCTATTTACAATATGTTACTACGGTCGAAGCGCATGTAGCACAAGGCTCCCTGCAATCCCTACGGAATCGATCCCGAGCCCCAGGCTCACCAAGCCTTTCATCTCTCCGGGGTCAGTAACTTGGTACTAGACCTACTTGGGGAGATACCAGCACTGGTTCGATACATCGGTAGGCCACCGCGAGTCATTGTAAAGGCCAGACATGCATTCAGTCACCTCCATCGATGCTTAGTGAAATCGAATGCATGGCGCATCACTTCGGGATAGATCAACGCCGAAGCTTTACCTTTGTCGTTTTTCTATGGTCGGCCTCTCTACCAATTTATAGTACGTTATTATGGTACACCACATCACCGCGAAATTAGCTGTGTGGTCGTGGTCGAAATTAGCTGTGTGGTAAAGTGGTCGCTTAATATGTGGTGCTTCATGATTGATATCTGGCACAATATTTTTGTTCACTAGTATATTGACTCCATGGAAACCGTACAGCAAGAAAGTCTGTACGAAAAAATAGACGGATGAATAGGATATGCATTGAGGTCAGTGCACTTCGTCCACTTTGCCACCGTCATGCGTGCATCGGCGTCAGCGTATCTTCAGCGTTATGTGTTAATACGCCTATTTCGCAGTCATGGATAATCGTACCGATTTAAGCTACTTTGAATAGACTCACACAATAGTTATTAACCACTGCTCAAGGTTATTTTCATATTTACAGCTTTACTAATTTGAGAAGAGCAGATGAAGTCGCCTACAATCTTGCGGTGATGTCAAAATCTATGTTTCAGACAGATCGTGGTATTGAAAAAGCTTCATTGGCGCTCCGTTCGACAGGACGTGCGGACGTTCATTAACAATTGTGCTTTCTGCAATCAGAAGAAACTTGAAGGAAAGAAAATCTTGAAAGCACCGGTTGATGTTACAAGTCGGTTTGCAATCTTACTTACAGAGACGAAAAAAATTCTGCTTTTACTAAATGCTTTGGTGGAAATAATCACAACTGAACTAAACCAGTCACGTATTTTCAGGTGACAATTTTGATTTGAATATTGAGGTTCGGAGTAAATCTGGTGGAAGCAACGAAACATTCGATCGCTTGTCGTTCAGTCTCATCGGGTAGTCGCCCTTTCGTAAATTTGTTTTGGTCTTTCTGATTTTAACTCAGCATCTACTTTTTAAACGCTTTTTCTCACCTGGTCTCAATACGGCTTTCTAATTTTTCTTTCTAGATACAATGAGCAAGAAGTACGTGCAGCTGCTGTGACAAGAATGACCGCATACACATTTAAAGAGACTGCGAGTGAACTTCGAGGTCGATTCGCTCGTTCAAATCCTGTTAGTTCGCTTTCCACAGCAACCAATATCGGTCACACATGTATACTTATCTACATATATATATATATACATATACACCTGTATCACCTGTAGTCCCGTTGATCAACGAGTGACTCGAGCGGGCGCCAGTAAATCTTCCATTTTTCCCTGTCGCGTGCAAGAGTAGCCTAGTGGGTTCTACTTGCTCTAGGGACTCATCGAGCATCATATTCAAGGCTTTTTGTGAAGAATTCTGACGATCGGGTCAGTGGTCTTCCCGCAGTACGTTTGACATCCCGTGGAATTCAGTCACTAACGGCTCTTGTGCATCGGTTGTAATTCATACGCATTACGTGTCCGGCCCACCTTATCTTCGACTAATTGACGTACAGAACGTCATCTTTAATTTTTGATCGTTGATGCAAGGCGGAAGTTGTGCAATCTTAGCCTTGAAATATCGAATGGATGACCTTGAAGAATTTATGGTCTTCTCTGTAGAACTTCTCCAAGTCCATATAGAGCGCTTCGACTTCTTCTTTGTCATAGTCGGCGCGTAAACGACGAAGACTGTTAAAGCCGGTATTGATCTACATCTTTTTAATCGTAATGGTCCTATTCGGGTTGTTATTTGTTCGAATGAACCAATGTTCATGGACAAACTCGTGTTGGCAAGAACGCCGAAGCCGCTGACTACTCTACTGTCCTATGTTCCGAGGAACAGTTCTCCGGTGTCATAGACGGTGTTGAAAGGCAGGTGTCTTCTCGTCTCGGCCAGGCCGATGACGTCGTACTTTATACTTCTTGCTTCCATGAGCAAGTCGTCTCTGAAGGACTCGGATGCAAGTGTATGTGCATTGTAAATGCACATGGTCACCATAGTTCTCTGAAATCCAGACACCTTCCATTGGCGCTGAGATTTTAGCAACCTCTCCGTACTCGTCCTACCCAACACTGCGAAATTGGGGGCTCTTTTGGGGTCAGGGGAATGAGGGCTTTTTTTTTGTTTAGCATTTTGGTACCCACGTATACCTTGTTGGGTTCTCAATGTGGGACTGGATATACTCACGGGTAGCTCGCCAGGCTCTCCCAGAGTGGACATGGAGCTTATTTGTTGAAGGGAACTCCTAACCGCCTCCCATATACTTCCCTGTCACTTGACTGCAGCCTTTTGGTCGAATTTATCCGTAGAATATAATCCGCTTAAGCGAGAACGCGAACACGCTTGCATGAATACGCCTAGCATATACAGAAAGTATGTACCAAATCGGCGCAGCAGGAACAGGGAGTTCATCCCCCGAATCCACCTGCGCCCCAGTGAAGCAAAGGTCGCTTTTAGCCCGCGATTAACCCCCTTTCCTCCACCTGGGGAGGCGTCACGTATCCGCTCGTCTAACCATCCCGAGATCCCTCATATAAGGGAGATCCGTGGATATATATGCATTACCGCCTCATTATTTCTGAGAGGTATTCTTGCGTGTCGGGCTGCAATGTACAGCATGGGTATTCATCATCAGCAGAGGCTTCCAAACTGAGAAGGACTCCGGCTTTTCCATCAGGAAGCCCAACTGAGAGTACGGGAGTTTACCACCGTTCTGGTATCGAACTAGTCGCATAGTGGCAAATCTCCCTCTAGTCCAGGACGGCAACTGGCCGTAACGGTAGCAACCTGGTGAACACTTTGGCGAGGCTGACCTCGAACCACAGTAGCTAGACAAGTAAAACTCCGAAAAAGTGGAAATTATGCTCATTGTGGGTCCGCGCAACCGATGAATGCAGGCCATCCAAGTATTTAAGTAAGTGCCACTAGTTGTCGTAGTTGCTGGATTTTTGACAAGTGAACGGAAAACTCTTGTGCATATCTTTCCGATCTTTAAACTTCTAGATATCGAAAGTCATATCAAACTATATAATGTTCTCATAGAAATCTAGTGAAGAAAAAACTGGAGTACCGTAGTTTAACTGGGAGAAATTTTGTTATAACTGGGAAAGTTTTGTGCGCATAACCGTTTCCATGGTGTTCTTGAATACCAGAGTTTATGTTGCTATCTCTGTTCTACTGCGTACTTTCTTAGCGCTTACCTGCAAAGCGTTATATGCTCAGAAGTGGAGCTACTTGATTGCTGCACATGTAGCCCTAATTCTTTCTATTACTACGATAGTTACTCTATCGATGGCTGAGTGGCTTTAGATTTTCATGTTTTCGGATTTTCTACTATTATCGTGGGCGAGTCGAATGAGTTGACTGTATTTTTCAGTGATGTTAACAAGTTTTCCCAGAACTATCAACAACGAGTGAAAAGCCCCAATTTGTGACTTCTTCGGAGACGTTGTTTTTGAACTTTGTAGTATTTTCTCCAGCGTCTTCTGCTTGTGTCGCTATAGGAATCTTGTATGTGGTTCGATCATGCTTAGAAGCTTGGCACAGCTGGACATTGGTTAGGAGGTGATTAATAGGTCATATTGTTATGGCCGACATAGAACCTGTTCAGCTTCTTAAGAAATGTTCTAGTTTTATCTTTGTTCTGATGTTGTTGCAGCTGTTACGTCTGTTAAGTATGTTCCACTGTGCATCTTTCCAACAGGAGAAACCACATTCCAATCATTTAAATCGGTAGCGGTTTAGAGGATTCTATATCTATCTCCTTTCTCGTGGTGAGGATACGCTATCTCCACTAACTTCACTCTCTCATATTTCTAATGAAATTTCCACCCTATCAATATCATCGGGTAATTTCTCGTACCCGTCAGTGTAATGAAATTGTTTGTCACTCTTAGCATACATATTGTAACAAGTAACCATTACTGTGGTTATTTCAGGGTTAGGCAAGTGAAAATGTTTTGAGATTTAAGCAAGCTTGTATTTGTCCTAGGTAACGTAGCTGTGCACGCGTGTTTTGCAGGGCGCGTGTGGCGCAGTGGTCGAAGACGCCCTGCAACACACACGTGAAATCGATCTCCGCGCCCATGGTCCACCAAGCCTTCCATCACTCCGGGGTCGCCAAATTGGTACCACACTTTTCGGGGAGGATAGCAGCACTTGCTCGATGCATCGGCAGGTCACCGTGAGTAATGGTAAAGGCCATATATGCATTCAATCACCTCCAAACGATGCTTAATGAAGTCGAATGGATGGCGCATCACTCATGGATTGATCAACGCCGACAAGTTTATTCTTATCCTTTAACGTAGCTGTATCGGGACTCCTTAGTGGTCAGAGAAATCAGCCATTCGTTTCCGCTGTGTCTGGACTTGAAAGAAAGTAAGATTCAATTAGGCAACTGCCCGTCGCTTTTGCAAAAAATCGTGCTACTGTTATCCTGTACGTCTTTGTTTATGAAGGTATGAACACAACCTGTATAGAATCAGTATAAGGCTTTACGACACAGTATCCAAAGGCTTCCTACCAGAGATCAGTCTTACACATGACTATTGTGAAGAATGTTCGTGTTCTATTTGTAAATTCGCTGAGTCCTGAATTGACCTCGAGTAAGCACTCGCTCAAGAGCATTCCAGTATAAACGGCTAGTGAGTGAGGTTAGTTCATTCTTTTGGTGTTCGAACCATTGCAGGCCTTTATCAGTGGATCAAAAGTACTCGGGTACTTGGATACTTGAATGGCCCGTTTTCACTCGTTGTGTGACCCCAAAATATTTTTCATTGTTCTGGACTTTTGCTGGTTTAGCCGTTGAGGTTTCCTGGAGTTCCGAGGTCAACCTAGCCAAGGTCTGCTTCCATAGTTGAAAATACCAAGAAATATTTGAGTTTAGATAATCATCTTCAAACTTGACTTGATAGGGTAGTACTGTGTAGAGATGTACAAGACCATTTTCTGGTTCACGAAAGCCTATGTCACTTCTTTGAATGATAAGAGACAAGTGACTACGTTATTCTACGTTTATTCTACGTTGAAAAGATGACTTTACATGGTTTGCGATTGACCTTGTAGGGAACTGCTCCAACAAACTTTCGTCGACAGCCCTACATTAAACGAACCCGATATTCTCCGTACGCGTCCGGATTTATTCTTCCGTATGCAGCAAGACATAAAAATGAGGTGATAAACTGGTGTTATTATGACACTAGGTTTTTCTCACTAATTTATATGTATCGTTCTACGTATATTTCAGGAACCCAGCTTTATAGAGATTTTTAATGACGATCGGGGGGAACCTATGACCTCAGCCTATAATGGACAAACGTATCCTGTTGAAGAGTTGGTTTGCTTTGTCCACTCTTCTGTGTATGTCATTCCTTTTTCTACAACTTTTTGGATCACTTTAGGTTAGTCGAGAGTCAACAAATCGATGAACGCTCTGTGGAATCAAATAATATGATTACAAATGTGGAACGGATAGCCTCCGCATATCTAAAAGGAGACGGAAGAGGTCTAACTACACAGCCGCAATCTGCAACAAAACGTGGTATGTAAATGATGAAATGGAACTTTTATGGAGTACCAGAGAACTGGAAAATTTTATCTGCAGTGGTCCTCTAAGGTGCAGGGCCAGTCATTTTTCCAGATACATGAATCTTTTGGCTTTGTGTTCATTTTGAGAGCAACAATTCCAGATATACCAAGCAAGCCTCAATCACTAGAATCCGGTAGAGGCCGACAGAAAAAGGTGGCAAATTCAGCAAATATTGGCTTAGTATCTCGTTTTAATCTGGCCTTAGGAGACGCGATGGATTGCACAGGTGAGAAGAGTCTCGAATTCATATGTGTAGCCATAGCAGTGAACTGGAATTCTCCGACCAACGGTTTTGGATGAGGAGGGTATGGGACAGTGTTGGAGCAGGCCTATAAAACCTATTTTTGGGTCTCATCCTTATCTAGTGTCTGATGCATACATACTTGGATATTTGGTTGGCCCATCTTCGCTGGTTATGTGGGCCCCAGCATAATTTCCATTCCTTCGGAGTTTTGCTCGTTTAACCATTGTGGTTCCCTGGAGTCGCGAGGTCAACCTAGCCAAAGTCTGCCCTAGATCGTCACTGCTACAGGCAGTCCCCGCCGTTGTGCATCAGAGGGGAATTTGCCACCATGCGACTAGTTTGATACCAGGACGGTGATGGATCCTAGTATTGGTTTACTCTTAACTGGGCTTCCTGATAAAAACGCCGGACTCCTGCTCGGCTTGGGATGCCCTATTGTGGGGATAAACTACCCTATTGTACATTGCCGTCCGACACTCAGGAACACCTTCCAGCCACAGTACAAAGTAAACCCTTGGGAGGATCTGATGCTTTAAAAATTGTTATTTCTTTCATAGTTATCTTAGGCATTTGTTTTGACTATCATCATTGCAAGTAACCTGATAAAAGAGCATGTCATTTACTTCATGCTTGCAAGTTTGTGGCATAATTGAGGTTGAATTCAGAGCTGTGTGATAATTCTGAGCTGTTGTCGTCATATGAGTCAATAAACACACGCCCAGAAATGACGGTGCTACCTCCCATCATGTTAATGCCTTCAGTTGATCCTGAGGTGCTACAAATGCAGAAGGAGGTTTCTTTTAGTTGTCATCTCAGCGACTACGTGGAATTACTCACATATGTTTATAACCTATACATATCTGGTATCTTCTAGCTGTTGATGCGGCAACTAAGACTGCAAAGAATGCAAGAAAAAGTACTGCAAGCTCAGTTAAATTCACTTCGGATTCCAATAGCAAGGTAGGACATATCTGTGTTAAAAGTGGGGACTAATGTGAAGGAAAAACGGTTGACAGAAACTCTTTGGGGCCGGTTTACTTTTTAGGTTTGTCTACGAAGACTGTCAGATTTTAAAACATAATAAGGTTGTAAATATTAACAGAAAGGTTATTTCAATGAAAGTTTTTACGGCGATCTACGTGTTTAGGTACGAAGAGCTTGATCCGAATGGAGAGAGGGTTCAAATACTAGCTGACGGAGGTGAAGACTTTATGGGTGTAAGTGTTTCGTTAGTTGTTATTTTGAATTTCTGTTTAGATTTAGAAACGTCATGATTCTGTAAAAGAAGCATAGTCCATCGTACCATTGTTAACATCTTGACGAGAAGATCATGTTCAGGAGCCGGTAGATGAGGAGCACGAGCTGAATGTAATGAACAGTGGAGACGAGAGCGGAGATGAAATACTTCATGTGGAATCACGATAGCACATAATTCAGTGTATACTTCCTATAGATTGCTTGTTTTCATCAAGTCGGTCTCAGGGAGTTCAGTTTAGTTGAGGTCCAGTTATGCTGCTCGCTTCTAGTTTGTTTTATATTTCTGTGATGTATTTACTATCCAGAGGAAAATCTATGACTTTCAACACAGATTGGGATGTGAAGGCTGTTAAGAGCACCAGCGTTTTCTAGAGGAATTAGCAGCAATATATATCGTAACGCTGTTTTGCTGGAACTAATGATGAAAACAATTTTATTGCAAGGTATTATTGTATATAATGATTATAGCCTGATTTTTCTGACAGTAAGTCTATGCACACCACGCAACAATAAGTTTTCATGGATGTTAAATGGTTCAGGTTTTCATAGGTCTTTTGATAAATGTATGTTCATCGGCTTGATTTACTGCAGAAAAAAAAGTATCGGAGAGACCTGGTTCCACGCATGAACAATATGTACACAAAGTAGCAATAATCCATCTATACTGGACGAATGAATCATTAAGTGCCCACATTAACACAAAGGAAATCTGTACGCACTCCACCAATGGTTAAACTGAAGTCACATTCTTTGGACAGCCTTCCTTGGATATCCACCTGGGAAGCCTTTGCTTGCTTGTGCTCAGTCCCAGCATTGAAAGGTGCCTTGAGTATCGGGCACTCCATCAATACTGAAAAGAGTATGAGATTTCTTCCCATACGAGTAGTATGCTGTTTAACCGAACCTTCCTCGATCCCCAACGAAACCACCCTATCTACGTGAAAAGTGAATTGATAAGCTTTGAATATTTTAAATGATTATATAGGTGGTTTTGAGCACTAATTTTAAAGCAGCAGTGGAAAATTATGAGAGTAAGGATTGAGATAATATGGTTAAGACACTCCTTCGTTGATCCCCATCGCTTCCTAAACACTACTGCAATTTTGTTGGCATCATCTATGTGTTTATTACTGCGTAGCATCTATAACGACCTCTTGATTTCCTTAAATACAGTGTATTTCTCGAAGATCCGTATTTCAGATCATATCGATGCAGAATGAACACGTCTGATGGGGTGTTGCCTGTAGTAAATAGTGTCTTTTTTAAATGTTCTAATGTACTGACCTTGTTGAGCTGTTGCGAGGTTGGTATAATATGGCGACTTACCAAACTCGTATCAGCTCAACAAGGTTAGTTCATAAGAACTTACTTGGATATTTGGGTGGACCGTCTTTACTAGTTGTATGGGCTCCAGCATAATCTCCATTTTTCGTAGTTCAGCTGGTTTAGCTATTGTGTTTCTCTGGAGTTCCGATGTTAACATAGCCAAAGTCTCCCCCAGGTCATCACCACCACAGGCAGTTGCGGCCATTATGGTTCAAAGGGAGATTTGCCACCATGCAACTAATTTGATACCAGAACGGTGGTGGGCTCGGGTATTGGTTTATTCCTAGCAAGGCTTCTTGACGGAAACCCCGGACTCCTCTGCTTGGAGACCATGCTAAGAGATGAATCCCCCCGCTGTACATCGCAGCCCGACACCCAACAACACCTCCCAACCACGATGAGGCGGTAAACCGTTGGGAGAGTTCATAAGAACATATAAACAAATATATCGATTATTTATGCCGAGGTTTATAGAAAGTCGATCTTTTGATTTCTTAATGGCTTTTCTGTCCGCATCCCTACTTGATTTTCCAAGAAATATTGATTTAGATATTCATTCGCAAGACTATTATGATTGGATATTCATGTATCACATTGTCCGGATTCCAGCACTTTTTGCATTTGACTCGTTTTACCTCGCATCCATCATCCCACAGGTTTTCGAACTCTGCATGTTGCTTCAGCTGTTGCTTGAGGAGTGTCGTCTTGTTTATGAATTTCATTGAATGCTGCTCGATCAGTCGACTTTTCCTGGAACCCGAGAATAGCAGTGCTGGGGTGTTCGCACATGCATTAGAATAAGTGTGCTTCTCCCATACAAGTTTGGCACTAAATTCCCGTACCCTGGATGGATGACAAATTTGGTGGACCTGGAGCGGAGTCAAACGAGTCCCAGCATAGCTTGAGCCCTCTGTGTAATGAACGGGATAGCACCGCGCTATTCGCTCCATAATAATGAAATAATTAGTAAAATTTCCAAAACAATGTTTCAGAAAATCAGTAGTTCTTATGCAGCATTCCTTTTATAGAGGAATTTTAGTGGTAAACTGACAGATGGTTTTTTGTACACGATCCGTTTTGTCACATCTACTATACGGATCCCAGCACTTCTTGCATTCTGTTCCACCCATCCAATATCCACGATAGTCATCGAACATTTCGCCTATTACTTCGGCTGATGCTTGAGGATTTCGTCTTCTTTATGAGTGTCGTAGAATTCTGGTCGACTCGAATCTCTTTACGGTCCTGGAGATAACCGAGCTAAGCCGTTTCGGCGTAGAATGAAGAGACCGTTGGACGAGGGTCGTACTAGTGCCTTTGCATCCTGATCGACAGAATCGCTAACCACTGAGCTATCTCAGCCCCAACTTAATACATAAGAATATATATTCAGGAAACGTCTATTTCTGGTCTCGCTATAGCTTCATGATATTCATTACCACGCAGATTCTGTCTCGCTGAAAAGCCAATCGGTCTGAGTGACCGGAGTCGGCATGCGGAGTCCAGACAACTCGATGGACACGCAGAGTGCTGACGTGTAACTCCCGCACCCTCCTCGTCGCGCTGAGGCCCCCGAGAATGGGTTGTTTTCGCGCGGCAAGTACCTCCATTGTCGGTACTGACTAAGAACCGTACTGAGGAGAATGTCGACAAAGTATGATTTAGTTCAGTTATTCTCTATCCTTCGATATCTAACGGCTTCGGGGAACACGCAATTCTAATTCTGGCACTATCATTTGTGCCCGTCATTTGTTTGCAAACAATCGATAGCAATCTGAGCCTTTTCCTACTCCTGTCTTCTACTTTCTCCCCTTACTTCACAGTAATTGTTCAGTAAACGATAAACTCCATGACAATCCGTTCGTTGTCATTGAAATTCCTTACATTTGAGGAAAATCGGATACGATGACGTCACTTTCGATCTTTTGCTCTCTTTCTGAGTCATCCTGTCATTTCATTCATAGCTAACCATCATCACTTCTTTTTACTTACTAGCATATCAGCGAATCCTTCCATTTTTTTGGAAGATTCCACGAGAGCACAAATCAGTCGGTCACGTGATGCTTTCTGGTCACGTGACACCAGCAAGTTGGTGGTTTTGGTTGATTGACTACTTTCTTCTAGCTTCTTGACATTTTGGACATTTTGACCAACGGATTCTTCTATGACCATTCATTCATCGATTGAACACATGCTTTAAAACATATCCGTTAAGGTTTTTGTGGGAAACGTTAGGTTTTCACATTAAGTTTTCATTAGTTTTAGTTTTCACGTTAAAGTAGTTACAACTTCGTAACTTTAAAGTTTCAACTATCCGGGTTGACAGTGAAGAAGATTTTCCTTCGTATATGTCCCGAATACAAACACATCAGTTTCTTTATTTCTTTGTTTTAAAATGTTGGGTTAGAAGTGTCCTAACCTTCTTTATGTCGCTTCGGAGTCCCTACTTTTCCAGTTTTATTCCTGTTCAACATTAACCCAAAACTTGATAAAGCCTACTAGCTGACCTTTCATAGCAAAGTGATCTTTAAGAAATTGCCTTATGGTTTTACTAGTTGGCACTTGGCACGTTCCCAGGTACGATGGTAAAATAAGACGTTCTAAAAATGAGAACGTACTTGTTGTGAGGTGTAGGTGAAAGAAATGTGGGAGATGGGACCACTTTCCTGCGGATGAATTCATCTACATTTCCACAAGCTGAATTGTTTAGATGCTCAAATGCTTGTTTCCTTTATGTCAAATTCATCCTAGCAGTTCTTGCAATCACTTTGTTGAGGTCGTCGTTCATTCACGGAGGTGGTCCGAATAATGTGTGGATTTGGTTGTGGCTTAAGGTTTTAAAACTAACACGAGCTGTGCCCATAGGTGGTTTACACTGGAAAAGAACACGTGTTCCCACATTTTTGGAGGCTTGTAGGCTTGTTTCGTGGTCATTTGGTTTCTCTTGGGATTCGTTCCGATGTTTTTCGTCCATCCACCGTACTCTTCACTTATTATGAAGCTGGCCCATCGATTTTTCTTATTCGAAACCTTCTACTGTCTTGAAGACGGGATAATCTTGGATTGTCTGGGTATCGAATGGAACCTTGTAGTGTTTGGTGTGCCAGACATTTCGTAAGAAGTGTTAGAAACGTAACGAGGTGTACAAGTGCAGGATGTGGTTACGCGTAACCAGGTACAGTTGTGGTTTCGGTTGAAGTTGTGCTATCACTTACAGGGAAGGATATGTAAAGTCGCTGGAGGCCTCATCATACAAGTGCTATTTTTGGAAATCTGGGCCAAAATCCGGAAGTTTATCCACTTGATACGGCAGCCAATGAGAAGTTTACACTTGTTACCACCAGGCCAAAGCAGTAAAAGTAAGGCCACTGACTACTACATGGATTGCTTAGCTTTCGTACCCGAAAACGACAAACGGAGACTTTCTTGATATCATATCGAGTTAGTGGATGCGGGATGTGACTTTAGGTTATGTAAACGCTTACTGCTTGATACTGTTTTCGATTGCTCCGGTTTAAGAACCTTATCTTACTCGACCCTTATATCACTATGGCACGAGGCTACTATCAATCGATTCCGTAGCTTAGAAATCCTCGGCGAAGGTTCTTTAATAGTTCAAGATCGATGCTCGTGAAATTTCTCCAGCCTTCTTTTCTAGTAGATTCTACTGCCAATCGATTCCATAGATTAGAAGTCTTGGACAAGGGTTTTTCATTAGTTCAAGAGCTGGTGGTTGGTTTACACTCGTTACATCGATGAACGAAAAGCTATTGTCTGAGATCCGGTGAAGCTGTAATAGATCTGTTAGCTGATAAGTTTTATTGTCAAAGGTATGGTTTATTTTAACGGGTTAACCCATTTCAACGGTGTCCCATTGGGTTACACCATTACGGCGATGATTAGCCGACAGTTAGCTCTGTCCTCGGCTTTCACACAAGTTCATCGTCGTTGTCTACTGAATTCTCATCTTCTACTCGGTTCTCAGCATCATCTGCCATCATCATCATTTTCGTTGCTAACGTCCATACCATCATCCACTATCATTCATTCTCATCATCGTCAAATCAGCACGTATGTTCGAAACCTGTTTCGTCACCGTTTTCACCACGAAAAATAGTTTTGTTAGCATTTTTCATGGATCTCATACTGTTTTTACGTTCGAGTACTATACTATCTTCGCAATATTAATGAAATCGATCGATTTTTCGTGATCTACCTGACGAAGAATCGCTCTTTGTGACAGGTGTCGACATAGATTTTCTATTATGTAAGCTCTTTTTTGTCTATCTATTGAGAACTTTCCGCTCAGTTCTTATTAGCTGAATGTTTGCTACTCGATTAATTAGTGGTACTCTTAGCCATTATCAAACTAGTAGGTTTTTCATTGTTTTACTTCAGTGAAATCTGGTGGAATAGTGTTCATTGTTCGATGTTTGGTGTAGACCAAAGTACTCCAGTACATTTGGCAATGTCATATGATAAGGTGTAGTAAAAACTGATGTTCTTCTACATTCACATGTCAAAAATATCGGGGTTAAATTGACCTCTTGAAGGTTTTCCAGGCGAAGAGCTTTTCTGATTAATCGATCGAAAAAAACATCTGGATCTGCAGGCAGTGCAGTGTGCAAAATGCGTCATTCGCCCAAAGTTGTAGCCCGTCCAGATACTATTTTACTGCAAACAGCTCATATATATACATGTATATATGTATGTATATATGCGTATATATGGCTTACGACCTATAAAAGATGTCATTTAGCCCGAATTGCCGTTTGACGCTCATTAATTCTGTCTCCGAGTGAAGGGGAGGGGGGCACACTCATATAGATTCTCCAGTTTCGAATCACGTCATAGGCATCATGTAAGCATCATTGGTTTTCCTTTTCTTTCTGTTATAGTTTTATGACATCTATGTTTGTCTAAGTAATTATAAGTAAAAATTGATTGTCATGACCAGTATTACCAGTTCGTTGAGCTACTGGTTGCTGCAGAACTTGAATCAAGCCTGAGAACTTCGTTTGATCCGCTATTGACGGCGTTTCTCCTTCGTAGTATTTGTTTTAGCAGAATCTTTTCTCTTCTATCTTGTTTTTTTTAAAGTTTTTTTAACTTATAAGTGTTCTTTTTTCAGAATGACGAATCGCAAGTTAAGTATTGGCGTCTACGATGCGGATAAAGACGAGAAGCTTGGGATGGTATGACTCTTTATCGATTTGTGTTTCTGGATTTGTAGATTTCTCCGGCTTCTTTCATTCATATACTAGTTCTATTTTCATCCATACGTTTGATAAGGACGCTGTCTGGTAGTGCCTAGTGAACGGTTACTGTTTATCTTTATCTTTTTATTTCTTCTTTTTTTCTGTTGTTTGCATAACGGGACTCTTGATAAAAGCGAAGTAATTGTGGGGAACTGTTCATTTCTAGTTAGCTAGAGCCTGCTAGATAGACTGCAGTTGGTCATCACAACCTACCAGAGTTGCGTCAATGGGACTTTCATGATTTGACGGATGACAAGTCGTAGTTCTTTTGATTTATTACATCAACGCCAGCCCGTATCATCGCGCCTAACTAACGGCCAGAGATAGAGATACGAACGAACGACGTACTGTATTCGTGTTGATCATCATCATCGTCATCATCATCATCATCATCATCATCATATGACCGTTATTTCCGTACCTGTACAGGTCGTCAAAGGATCATCACCGTTGTGGATTCGTGTTCTCATCAGAATACTACGAGCGTGGTTCTTCGTCTACGATTGCCTCAACTACATACCGTATCAGCTCTTCAATCCACCCGTTGAGAAACTTCGCAAGTCGAGCGCAGTGAAGGTGAGCTTTCTCCCTTTCTCTCTCTCTCTCTCCCTTTTTCTTCGAAGGCATATGTATATTTAAGTGTCGTTAAGATTGGGATGTATTAAGTTAGAGATTTGAATATACCATAACCATGTATTGAATATCGTACTCTTTTGATGAGCTGATTTTTAACACCTCTACTCGTTTTTTATACACCGAGTGGGAACCATTTGTTGTTGTTTATGGCATATCTGTACTGGAGTAAACCTTAGCTAGGCTGACATCGGGTCTCCAGAGAACCAAAGTCGCTAAACTAGTAAAAGTATGAAAAATGGAAATTTTGCTGGGACCCATATAAGTAGTGAGGACGGGCCATCCAGTTATCTATGTAAGTAAGTACAGCTTTATCTAGCCTGGTTGTATTATTTAGCCCTTATGGGAAAGAAGAACTTCCTATATCATTCAATGAGTCATATTTGCGATGATACCATTCATATTTTGAAGTAGCTGCCTCCATTGCCTCAGTGAGGCATTCTTGCTACCAAATGCTTATCATGGGAAAATCAATAAGTAAAAAAAAACTCAGTTTTTGATTCTGTCTTAGGCACAGTGGGTAGATACCCGCGATGGAGACATCAGACATGTGGATGGCTTGAAAACAGAGGAGTTTCCTGGAAAGAATACTGTTGACAAGGTGGATGTTTTGGTACGAACTGAACTTTCTGCTGAACTGAATTATGATTTGGAAGTGTTGAAGGTTTGGCGACATGTGGTTGAGATGTTTGATGAGGCTCCTGCACTTGGAACTCGTCAGCTGCTCGGTGTACACGAAGAGAAGACAGACGTTGGACGAGTGTTTGAAAAAGTGAGTTTTTTAAAATTAATATTACCATAAGTGAAAGTTCTCTTGGTCTCTTGGTTTGCTGTGTTATTGCAAAATGCTGTTTCGAAACAAAACCGACACCGATGAGTTTCCATGTACAGTGGGAGATGGGCGAATACGAATGGATGTCGTACCGCGAAGTGGAAGCTAAAGTGGCAAGTGTAGCGGCAAGTTTGAAGGATTTGGCCAAAGGGGATGACGCTAAGGTGTGTTTTGTAGTGGTGCTCAGAGTGTACATATCGATTTTCTAGGGCTTGTTTTTGCTTGGTATTGAGTGAACATGAAATTTTAGGTGGTCATTTTTGCGGAAACGCGAGCTCATTGGCTAATTACCGCTTTGTCATGTTTTCGAGCGAATCTTCCAATTGTTACGGTTTACGCCACCTTAGGTGAAGAAGTAAGTGGATTGTCTTTGTTGCAGTAGTGTTTTCCGCACACAGAAAACGTTGTGTAAATATGTACTGAAGGGATGTACCTAGGTGTCCTTTCGTTGATAAGCTTACACGAAGTTTATAGACAATCTTCATTCGGCGAACGTTCCGACGGTTTCGTCTTCATCACAGCCGATTATCCGAGTCCATGGTCCACAGTTGGACAAACTCCTCAGTTGGACCACTGAACAACAGTGGACCACAGACTTGAATCATCGGTTTTGGTGAAGACGAAACTGTCGATGCGTCAGCTGAAAATGAAAAAAATTTATCAACCTCGTGTAAGCTTATAGAGGAAAGAATATGTATTGATTAGTCATATCGAGGTTAAAGGAAGGCCTGTTTTCAAAGATTGTTATGTTTTTTGTTAAATGATGTACATAGGGTTTCAATATGTGATTTTCCCGAATTTTCAATCGAATTGTATACCGTATCTCTTTTACGGCATTTTTGAACTATTTAGGCAATTGCACATGCCATAAATGAGACAGAATCCTCAATTCTTGTGACGTCCGCAGAGCTACTGGGCAAAATTGGTACACTTGGAAAACGCTGTCCCACACTTCGAACCATCGTATTCTTTCCACTGGTGAATAAGAATGCCATAGCACCGGATCTCAGTCTTTTCAAGTACGCGTTGTTTATCATTGCTATGCAGTCTGAAATATTTTTCTTCTTCTATCATCTTTTCTCGCTTCACAGAGGTCAGTTCGAGCACGTCTTGTCATTCACTGATGTTGAGAACAAAGCGAATACAACGATAAGTGAGTTTCATATTTATAAAATAGGTTACTGCTTAAGTATAACCCATTTTATCGCATATATTATGTTTATGTTCATTTCTTGGTTTTTCCTAGTATTCGTTGTGATTTTAAGAAGAGTCAACTGCTGAAGCTGAAGATTTGGCGCTAATCATGTACACTTCCGGCACCACTGGTCCTCCAAAAGGAGTAATCTTGCTTCATAAGAATATTGTCGCTGCTATTTGTGGTCAAGGCAATGGCGTCGGCATCATCAGGTTCGTCTTTTGGTTTACTTCTGGTGAAATTGTTCCAAATGGTAACCTTTTGAATGGTTAAGATTCTGATTTCGATTGCAGCCTCAGCTTAACTGGCTTCAATGCCAATTTTTGCTCCCCGGATCAGTCCCGCTGACGAGTAATTGCTGATGGCAGCGATAGGTAGAAAACTAGCTGAGAGAAACGCAAAGCAAAGGTCTTCGTGGTGCGTTGTGTAATACGCGAGCCCCAGGAAAAGTTGTGGTTCGATCTGGCCCGAGGTCGAAGTTTGCGAATATCTCAGCATCGTTGTGATTGTTCCAAATGTTCCTTTTTTGGTCTTATTCCTTATTTGATATAGACATATTTGTCACAGATTCCGTTTTCAAATTGATGAAGTTCTTTAAGTGACAAAGATACGTATATTGGTTATCTCCCTTTGGCTCATATTCTTGAACTGGACGCTGAGCTCACAGCTTTGTGCTATGGATGTAAGGTATGAATTAATAGTATACACTTTTATTTATGTTAGTGGTCCTTTATGTTATATTTATTTAAATTCGAAGCGAGTAATGTGAAATAAAAATCTAACTCTGTTCGGAACTAAGTTTAGATCGGCTATTCGAGTCCTCTGACGTTACATGATCGAGCAAGTAAAATTAAGCCTGGCACATATGGTGACTGTCATGCTCTCCAACCTACTCTTATGGCAGCCGTGCCGGTTAGTTAATAATAATATAGTTTTTTTCTTGCCTCAACTGTCTTTTTGTTTTAGACAATTATGGACCGAATCTTCAAAGCGGTATCCGAAGAAGTTGCAGCCAGTCCGCGAATCATGCAAGAATTGTTTAAGTTAAACTATGAACGTAAAAGAGCTCGTTATCAGGAAGGGTACTGTAGTCCATTTCTCGATAGGTTAGATACTATTTATGTTGGCGATAATCTGTTATATACAGTGGGATCGGTGCCGGCCTATATGTAATACCCAAAACAATATTTTAGGTGCACATAACTACAGACCGTAAAATATGGTATTAAGTTAGCCAAACTTTTAGGATAGTATTCAAGAAAATCCGTCGTCTTTTGGGTGGAAATTTGAAGGGAGTACTTTCCGGTGGAGCACCTTTGAACCCTGAGACACAGCGATTCATGAACATATGCATGTGTTGTCCGGTTGTGCAGGTACAAGGTCTTCGTTGGTGTTTCTTGCTCACATTTTATGTGTTATGTTAGGGTTACGGTTTGACGGAGACCTGCGGTGCAGCATGCATTGCCGATATTAATGATCTCAGCACGGGAACTGTTGGACCACCAGTTCGTTGTTGTGAGATAGTGCTCCGAGAGTGGAAAGAAGGTGGGTATGCTCTTGGAGACTCTGTAGACTTTGGAAAAACATTTGAAGCAGTGTTACTTCGGAGAAAAAAAATTATAGGTGGATACTCGCCATTCAATGATCCACCGCAAGGCGAGATTTTAATCACTGGTGAGAACGTGTCACCTGGATACTTCAAGCAGACAGAGAAAACGAAAGAGGATTTCATAACGTATAGAGTAAGTCTTCACTTTTTACAGCCTAAATTCGTTTTTTGCACTACTTTTTAATCCGTTGTAATAATCTGTTTCAATCGGTAAAAACCAAAGTGGTGAAAATTGTTTTAGGGCAAACGATACTTCTGCACGGGAGACATCGGGGAAAAGAGAAAAGATGGTTCGATAATTATAGTCGGTATGATATTTCTTTGATATAACCCTCTTTTTGGTGTTCTCCGCTGAATAGAAGCTTAATGGAATTGATCCACCATCTAATATGAACGGTCTGCAAAACAGATGTCACTGATCTTCCGGAATCACTAAAGGGAAGCACTTCTGTGCAAGAAGCCTTCTTTCGCGTAAAATTTTTCATATGGCAACAATGCAGAATCGAAGAGCCGAAATTCGGAAGTCGTCATTTTTCGACGTCGAAGCTAGATGCGAGCAGTTCACTCAAAATTTCGTAAGCTGTAGTTATGCAAGATAGTTCTGCACGGGCAACCTAACACCTTACGTTCGAACTTGCCTAGAAGCGGTAAGTGAAGGTTTTAAAGTTCAATCAACAGCATTATTTGTTGAAGCTTCAAGTTTATGATGCCCATTGCCGTTTCGATGGATTCCAGATCAAGATGGCTGACCTCTTGCGAACAGATGAAATGGTCACCGCATCGAGGAGGGCCTTTAGTGAAGTAGACTGAGACTTCTACTTTGATCTCTTCAAGAGCCAAGTCTTGTCTCCACTCAAGAAAGATGCATATGTCATTCGCACTATGTTCTTTTCTTGTGGCTCACCTGTTATCTCATCAGTGAATTGAGCTATTGCACTCGCTCCCAACCAGTTGATATCCTGTCATCATAAGAGTCTCATCATTTCTCGTAAACCCACCAAGCCCATGAGGCACATCATCTCCGAAACTTCAAACATTATTCAGAATAAACGAATGCTGACCATTACCGGCTAGCTTGTTTGAATCACTTATCTTTGACTGAACATAGAAAAAGAAGTGCGTATTAGAAATGGGTTCTTATCTGGAACTCTATTTAACATATCCATCAGAAACTGTAGGCAGGAGAGAGGGTTTATCGCGAAGGTATTGAACGTGGTATCAAAAGGAGGAGGCAAGGGGTATGTGTATCATCTAGGTGGTCAAAAGTAATCCGAAGTTCAGACAAAGAAGGCGATCGGCAACGTACGCAGTATTTCGAGAATAAGATGAACCGGATTTGTGATGCGTCTCATTGGCAGCTGCTGTAAAAGACTCGTTAGAGACATGGTTGCAGGCTACATCAAGTGCACAACAGAACATCAGAAGCCCAGCGGTCCGATTTTTCTACGAAGATGATATAAAAAAGTGCGGCATTCCAACTACAAAGTTTCCCTATCCTTTATTCCCAAAATGCGTGTTCTATGTAAAATGATGAGCGTTATCGAACGCGTATTGGGAGCGTGGTGCTTTCATCACCCGTTTCATGGTAGTGCGACTTTGTCTCACATGGTGTCAAGGACACAGCAAAACTTCACGAGGTAGCTGAAAATGTGGAAATACGATACTCTTCGGGGTCCCTTAAGAAAGCCGAGCATATTGGGTTACTTTTGTACGCGAAGGTTAAATGAAGGTTTATTGGTCTTTTGCCTCATTCGTTCATGTGATTAATGTCTTGTTTTCTATACATATCTTTCCCAGGCTCAGTAATTTGTTTTCACGTCATTATTGGAGTTGTTCTAAGTTTTACGGCTTAATTACAGATCGAAAGAAGGATCTTGTGAAGCTTCAACACGGAGAGTATGTCTCGCTCGCAAAGGTATTGTGTTTCATCCTCTTAAGATGTACGCCTGGTTTACTATTTTGAAACCGATTTGTCGTGTTTACTCTTTTTTTTTTTAGTATTACTTTTCACCACTGTTGAATTCCTGGTTCCCAGTGTTGGTTATAATAATAATAATAATGGTTATTATTATTATTGTTATTATTATTATTACTGTTGTCATTATTATTGTTATTGTTGTTTTACTGCCTATTACAATTTCAAACTAGCTGAGTAAAAGCGATACGAAGGACACGAATGGTGTGGTGGTCAACGCGTTAAGCCCCGGAAAGGGTAATACCGCGTTCGTTCCCCACCGCAGACATCTACGCTCCGGAGTTTTGCAAATATCTCATCACCACTTTTGATTACTATTATCATTATCAATATTTGACTACTACCATCAATTATCACTCTGAATTTGTTAGTTGTGTAATCATTTGTTGTTATATCATTATTGTTTTTGATTACTAATTGATTATTACTGTTATTGGTTCAGGTCGAGTGTGCTCTCCTCAATTGTCCAATTGTTGATAATATTTGCGTATACGCGAATAGTTTGGAAGCAAACACTGTTGCACTTATAGTACCTAATCAGAAACACCTGGAGAAGATTACAGAAGAGGTTCCGGATTATACGAAAGCTACTATTGTGCCATTCCTTCAATCCAGAGATTTGGACCATTTTTTTTGTTTATAATTCTTTCTTTTATTTTAGGTTGGTGAACAGTCGCGAGATCTTAAAACTATGTGCGATAATAGGAAGGTTGTATCGGAATTCCTCCGTCAACTTGATGAACACGCGAAGCAAAGTAGGCTTTATTTGTGTGTTTGTTCATTTACATTTATTTGTTTTCTTTTAAAATCCTCTTAAAGGCCTAACCTTTTTATTTACTGCCTATTCTTTTTAATGGTATGGTAGGTTGCGAAATATAACTTTCATAATGCTGAGTATTACTGAATACACATCGCGGGATTCGTTTAAAAAGTTTTGTCGTGACGAATTCGGCTTTAAAGACGAAAGAGGTCGCGGAGGTCCTTCTGTTTGTGATGACGACAAGTTGAATGCTTTCCTGTAATGAAGTACATGCAAAACTCAATGTTTAACGTTTTGTTTTCTGCCCTCTATAATTTTCATGGCAGGTTACTAAGCGAAATACAACCACAACGTTGCTGAGATATTTACAAAACTCCGGACCGCAGGTATCTGCGGTGGGGAACGAACGCGCTACCCTTTCCGGGGTCAACGCATTCACCACCACACCAAGCGTGCCTTTCGTTTCTCCTATCTTTCAGCTAGTTCTATGGATCACAGCCATCAGCAATCACCCGTCAACGGGATTGATCTGGGGGAGCCCAAATCGGTATTGAACCCAGTTAAGCTAAGGCTATAGTTATAATCACAATCTTAACCATTTTATTTACTGCCTATTCCTTTTAACGACGGGGTATGTTGCGAAATATAACTTCTATAATGCTGAGATATCTGCAAAACTGCGGACCACAGGTGTCTGCGATGGGGAACGGACGCGCTATTGTCCTTTCCGGGGAGTAGCGCGTTCACCACCACACCATACGCTGACGGGTGATTCCTGATCGCTATGATCGATAGAACAAACTGAGAAACAGGCGAAACGAAGGACCTGCATGGTTTTTGCATTTTGCAGATATCTCAGCATTATGAAAGTTATATTTCGCAACCTGTTAAAAGCATTCAATCGCCTCCAAACGATGCTAAATGAAGTCGAATGCATGGCGCATCCATCAGGGATTGATCAACACCGTGAGCTTTAGCTTTTGTATATTTCCCTAGGAGACGTTGTAGATAGGTCAGTCAGTAATCGTGAACTTAGTCAGCATTGATGGTACGTATCACAACTAATGAATACTGGAACTTGAAAACTAAGTTGTAGTTAGAGAATCCCTAAGAGGTTTTTCGCGTTCGAAAGTCGTTCAAATGCTCGTTATTGAAGTGCGAAAACCCTAAAGAAGAGCATCAGAAACTCTGTTTTATCTGAACTGTTTCTGGATTATGGAGGGACTAACAGAGTGATGAAATTGTGACTTCTCTGCATTACCTCGATTTTCATTCAGACAAAATATCAAGAGTAGAAATGCCAATCGCCATTCATTTGTGCCATGAAATCTGGACTCCCGATAACGGTCTGTTGACTGAAGCTCTGAAGTTGAAGCGAAAACCGATACAAACGAAATACCAGTCTATAATTGACGGGTTGTACAAGAAACTTCGTAGCTCCTCGTAATTTCTCGCATCGACTTCAAGTGATTTGGATCGCATGTTTTGTATTTATCGTAAGTATAACTTAACAAAAATAGTAGATGACAGATCTTATTTCATGTAAATACCATAGAGTTTTATCCATACATTGTTGTTGTTTTTGAATTGTTCTAAGTACTCTTTCTATCATCGTCGTGTGGGTCCTCATCATTGGATGAGCCTATTCCATCAAATAACATGGATTGTTGTCTTGCATTTCTACATACATACATATGTATGCAATTATATACACATTCATATTTCAAGACTACTTGGACGTAGTACGTACATCTAAGCATTTATAGAGAAATTTCGGTTATTCATAGATTCCGCTTCTCAATTTTCAATGTGCGGTTTCAGTTCATAATACTGGTTACATAAGTAACAGTGGTATTTATGACGAACGATTTCGGCGCTGCTAAGCAGTAGCTGTGTTTCTGTATTTGTATAATAAGTTTGCATGTGCATGATCGTTGTCAGATATGTGATTTTTAAAGGTTTTCATAACTCTTCTGTGGCTACCACTGAAGCATATCTGCATGTTTTATCCTACGAAGTACAGAATGTTCGATCGCCGTTCACACAGTTTGGGGATTGTTTTACTAGAGAGTAAGTCCATGTGCGTTTATGTGTCCATGTATGTATGTGTACATATTTGTATGTATGGATGTGTATATGTTTGCGCTACGATATTTTGTCACATAGCCAGTCTTCATTGATGTTTGACTCAATAGATGTCTAAATATCTGATTTGCTTTTATGCTCATCGCCGCGCTCCCTGTGTTTTATCAAAGACCTTTTCCCGAAGATAGTTTTATGCCCCGTTACCTGCGTGTTTGCAAATGTATAAGGAATAAAGTATACTAATACGCAGAAGTTATCTAAAGTATTCGTACTATTATAGCGTAGACGTAGCAACAGAAGAGAGGATTCCTGGGTATCATAAAGATCTGAATCCTCGAATCTAACCTCCATTGTTCTTTCCCCGTGCAACCAGGCGAATTAAACAATGATATCGGGTTCGTCTCGCCAGGTGTAGCAGTTGTATTGGGTTGCTGTAATGGCTGCTTGTGTAATAATCGCATTGGTTTTTCATCGTTCGTGCTTTCTCTGCTAGGCATCGAACAGTGTACCTAACGTTAGTATCAGCTCTCAAAGTCGCTGAGAGATTTGTTTCCACCTAGGAATAGCGGAAGGAATCACTGTTGAGCTTTGTATTTATGGAATCTTTAACGGTGTGTAATTCGTTTTTTCTTTTGTATAGCAATCGGGTGATGTTCGGTGGTGTACGTGTCAAGGACTCCAGTCTGCCAAATCCCAGCTAGGTAAATGAGGTAATAAGTGTGGGTTGTGGCTGTGGTTCATAATAGTAGTCGGATTTATAGCGGCATGCTTTGTTGTATACAAGCAAGGTAGTGGGAACTATCCACTTTAGTGTTTTGTAACTGGAGGACGAGTTTACTTTTGAGCTTTGCAACATGGAGTAGCGAATGTAAGCAACAAACATGGCTAATAACCATAGGGATGCTGAGATATGACCAAAAGTCGAAACCTCACGAAGGTCTGCCCGTTTTGCCAATATATTCACCTCCCGTGATTATCACAAAAGTTCAAGTATATCGTACCTAAACTTATGCAGTCACCGTCCCTGCCGTAAGGGCAAATTGCGCAATTTGTTGTTTCACATAGACGGACATACAGGCATTCAAATAAACCTATCAAGTAGCGGATACTTGACAAAGTGGTACCGAAAGCCAAGTAACAGGAATATCCTCGTTCATTTCCTTTCCTCCCATCCTTCAAACACAAAGAGGGCGTTTTTGAGAAACATGTTTCGAAGAGCCACTTCTGTGTGCACAACCAGGGAACTAAAGGAAGAATCGCACGACTTGGCGCGACAAATAGCCATTTCCAATGGCTACGAAATAGTAACCCCACGAGATAAGTTTACACGGAGAACGACGCGCCCACGCGAAACACTTGGCCAAAACAAAATCCCGTTTATGTTGCCTTTTATAAGCGATGAGGTAAGCGCAACTATAAAACGATGCTTAAGAAGGGCAGGTCTAGAGGAATCGGTAGCGATAGTTGAAATACCACCGACTACTCTACGTCGCCAATTAGTTCGCAACCGCCTGTATAACCGTCTGTGTGAAACAACAAATTGCGTAATTTGCCCTTACGGCAGGGACGGTGATTGCATGAGTTCAGGTACGATATAACTGATCTCTTGTAATAATTGCGGAGATGAATATATTGGCGAAACGGGCACACCTTTGTGTATCCATACAAAAGAACACCTAGATGGCAAACGAAAACTAAGACGAAGCACCCCACTAGGCACGCATAGGATACAAAAGCATAGCGGAGACGATTTTGAAGTGAAAGTCAATATCCTTGCACAGGAGTCCAAAACACCAGCGCGAAAACTCCTTGAGGCTTTTTGGATCAATGCCAAAAGCCCTACAATGAATAGCAGGGACGAATGCCCGGAGATCATACGCGACCTGATCTCGTACGTTCGCATCGATTTTTGATGTGGGATGGTGCAGTCGTCAACCACATGCGACTATAATCAGCTGTTCTAAACTTCCTCATTGGAAGTCACGAAAAAGCGGTGGGTTTTTCGAGAAGTTGTTGATCGTGTAGTTACCAAAGAGTCTTTCGTCTTTATGTAAGTGTTATTGAAGCGTTTGGCCTAGTAGATTGTATATCAGCATACCCTTCCAGGCTCTGAAGAAGGCGATACTGCCGAAACGTCAGCTAGCGTTGTATTGTATTGTGTTTTTATGGAAGTAAATGTGTGCTGTTTAAAAACCTCGCGATTGCTGAACAAGAAAACGANACTAGGCACGCATAGGATACAAAAGCATAGCGGAGACGATTTTGAAGTGAAAGTCAATATCCTTGCACAGGAGTCCAAAACACCAGCGCGAAAACTCCTTGAGGCTTTTTGGATCAATGCCAAAAGCCCTACAATGAATAGCAGGGACGAATGCCCGGAGATCATACGCGACCTGATCTCGTACGTTCGCATCGATTTTTGATGTGGGATGGTGCAGTCGTCAACCACATGCGACTATAATCAGCTGTTCTAAACTTCCTCATTGGAAGTCACGAAAAAGCGGTGGGTTTTTCGAGAAGTTGTTGATCGTGTAGTTACCAAAGAGTCTTTCGTCTTTATGTAAGTGTTATTGAAGCGTTTGGCCTAGTAGATTGTATATCAGCATACCCTTCCAGGCTCTGAAGAAGGCGATACTGCCGAAACGTCAGCTAGCGTTGTATTGTATTGTGTTTTTATGGAAGTAAATGTGTGCTGTTTAAAAACCTCGCGATTGCTGAACAAGAAAACGACACATTCAGATTCTGTTAGTGTTTGATCACCTATACCATTGTCTTTGAGTGCTGGTTGACTCAATTCTCGCTGAAATCATGGAGTAGCCTGGCTAAGGCGTTGCTACGTGTATTGTAGGAGTCAGCTTGTCCTAGACAAGTCTTCCCGACTACGACGGAATTGGAAACTTAGTGAGCCTGTGTGGGCTCGAACTAGCGCATGGCTAAACATGACCGTCCGCTTAATAGATGGAATCACTACCTCTGTGCTGCCTGCTTACTACCATTAGGCACATATTTTGTAGCCACAGGTTGATGACAGAATCACGAAGATCTGGTTTTGATTTGGTTACGGCGAATGCAATAGATATCTTTAACGAAATTGTTAGACGACATGAAAAATGAGCGGGCTTAGTGCTGGAAGTCATTGTCCAGACACCATTAACAATGGATATGGTATATCTTGTTCATCGCGCTTATGTTGTATAGGTGATGTTTTCGAAGATTTATTCCGTAGTAGTCGCGATTTTAACTGAGCAGAAATTCTGAAGAAGGTCGGGAATGTTTCCTTAGGTGATGGCTCATGTGATCGCTTAGTTATGTAATGGCTATGTCGCTACTGGATCACGTTTGAGTTCATCAGTACGCAGTCATGTGAAATATGTCCGTTATAGTAACATTGTAAGCAGTCCTATTGACATGATGTTATTTATTATGATTAACAGATTCCCAGCGGGTAGTGGAAGTTGAATGGATTTCCGATCGGTTTCGGGGGATTTATAATTCGCAATGATGAAATCTACACACCTATTTCCAGTGGTACGGTGATTTGATGAAGTACTAAGTACAAGTAACTACATTGGTGACATGACTTAGAGGCCGTTGATGACGATGCCATTCATAGACTTTGTACCAAACAGCAAATGCAATAGTGAATTCGAAATTTCATTCCTTCTTGCAGATGGTACAAGAAGCTGAACTGTTGAGGTCAGAATGAGAAAACAATATGCTCTGTAACTCCCACGACCGACTTTCTATTAACCTCGGCATTGATCAAGTAATTCTTCGTATTTTTGTTGAGCAAACGCGA